CACATGAGAGGGGGGAGGGTCAGAGGGAGAAGCAGACTCCCCGCCGAGCAGGGAGCCTGATGCGGGACTCGATCCTGGGACTCCAGGATCATGACCTGAGCCGAAGGCAGTCGCTTAACCGACTGAGCCACCCAGGCGCCCCCGAACTGGATTTCTATGCTATGAAAACAATGATTTCAAAAAATACTTAATGACACCACAGAATGCTTAGGATATAGGGATAGATGCAAGTAGTCCCTTGCAAAATGACATGGCTAATGTGAGGCCACTTCAGGGAAAAACAGCATAGAAAAAATGTTAAAAGGAAATAGGTAAGAATTTTTTATACAAGTTATGTCTGGGTGGAATAATTTGAGCATAATTTTGTACTTTCTGCATTTCCTCAATTTTCTGCAATGAATATATATTATTTTATATTCAAGAAAAGCATGTCTAAAATTACACCATGGAAATCTAATGAGTGTTTTTCTATTTTTCCCGGCTGAAATTCGGAAGATTTTTATTTTTTCTTAAGATATCAGATAAAACACACCTAAAAAAAATAAAGCTGGTAGTCTATATTTTAAAATGAAGCAGAGGGGTGCCTAGGTGGCTTAGTCGGCTAAGCCTCTGCCTTTGGGTTTAGGTCATGATCTCAGGGTTCTGGGATTGAGCCCCGCATCAGGCTCCTTGCTCAGCGGGGAGTCTACTTCTCCTCCCTCTGCCTTTCCCCCTGCTCATGTGTGCTTTCTCTCTCAAATACATAAATAAAATCTTTCAAAAATTTTTTCTGATGAAGCAGAATTCAAAATCATTGTAAAGAGTGAGAGCTGGTCCATTCCTCCCTCTTTGTAAGGTGCGGATAACACCTCAATGGGTTTTGAGAGAACTGAATGAGGTACAGTGTCTGGTATATCATAAGCCCTCCTGAGTGTTTGTTATAATTAACTAGGATATTGGCATTTGTGTACTATTAATCATTCTTCTTCTAACATCATTCTTCACCAGGAAACTCTGCCCACCAGGCCCAGCCGATTGAGTGAACATGTTAATTCAGCTCTTGACTCTTGAAGAACTTGCCCTGGGTTCTAAATCCGTGCTGCCTCCCCAGTCCCAACCACCCTCAAGTGCAGTGAACAGTTTCTCCCACCAGCCCCGCTGACCTGGAACCCCTCTGAGACATTCAAGCTGAGCCTTGGCTGGTGCAGCAGTCCCCCCCCGCCGCCCCGAGAATAACTTACATCTCGTACTGGCTCTGCAAGCCACAGATGGCTCGGTGTCTGCTGTAGAAACGGTTCTCCAGGTCGATCCTGGTCTCCCCAATGAGGTCATCTGTCCCGATCAGGTCATGGTCGTAGATCAGGATGGAGAGCAGGGAGTCCTTTGGGAATGTGGCCTGGATCTCAAATGACCTGTGGTCCAAGTAAAGGCATTAGGAATCTACATCTGGCTACACAGGGAACGTCTCCCCGGTCTGTTTTGAGCTAGCCTGCGGTTCATAGGAACTCACTAAACTCGGTGAATACTTAGTAGATATTTATTTGATTTAATGTTTCATTGAGATTCAATTTCCAATTCTGCTGTCAATTTCCAGGAGCCAATGATCTCCACTTCTGTGGGTCACATCCCACAGTCTTCATCTAGGGTGACAGCAAGATGGGTATGAAAAACCTGGGGGTTCGGTCTCCAACAGAACTGATTTCCAATTTTGGATTTGAATCTGCAACTTCCTGGGTGTAAAACTTTGGGAAAGTTATTCCATCCCTCTTAGCCTCCTTAGGTGTAAATGGGGATCAGTATATCTTCTTTATAATATAGCACGGTCGTTAACTGTGATATTGTTTATACAAAGCACACATTTAGCTTGCAGGTACGCAACTGGGGTCCAATAAACTGCCATTCCCTTCCCCCTCCCTGGTTGCTTCATGGGGGGTTGGGGTGTCAGCTGAGTTTGTTTTACATGAAAAGGCTTTTGAAGATGGAAAATCCCGAAAACAGAATTGCAGGACTGCAATGCCGTCTCTGCAAACTTCTGAGCCCCTCGACCATGAGACCTGCCTCCTTCACCTCTGCTTTGCTGGAGCCCTGGCTTCACCTGCAGAGAGTAAGCAATGAATGTCTCCCTGAACCAGAAGGGATCTCGGGAATCACCATATCCCAACCCCTTCATTTTACAGATAAGGAAATTGAAATCCGGAGCACAGAAGTGACTTGCCTGGACCATAAATCAGGTCAAGCTAGGGTAAGTACCAGTTCCCTGACCCCCCTAGTTCTGAGCTCTTTCCATGATACCTCACTAGCGCAAGGTGTTGAAAAGCAGTGCCGTGGGATTTCCTGGGATAATGCATTATCCGCGTTGCTGAGCATTACAGAAGATAATTAAGGAGGGCACTTGTACGGATGAGCACTGGGTGTTGTATGTAAGGGATGAATCACTAAATTCTACACCTGAAACTAATATTGCACTGTATATTAACTCACCGGAATTTAAATAAAAACTTGGAGAGGAAAAAAAAAAAAAAGAAGTAAATCCTGAGTCCATTTAGGGAAGTGTCTTCTTGAGAAGAAAATAAAAAACACACCAGCGTTCTCCGGCCCTTCCCAACTCCGGCTGCCCTGGGACAGGTGCTGTGGGCTGGCCTGTGAGCGAGGGACCAAGAGGAGGTGGGGAGAAAGGGAGGATGGAAGGCCCATGATTTCCCTCCGTGTCCACTGGCCTGTCTGGGCTGCTGCCCTTGGGGTCAGACCCACTCAGCCCCGGCTCTCAGTCTCCAGTGGCAGCAACTACAATTCCAACACCAGCCCCCCCCCCAATGAAGCCTTCCTGAGAGAAAGCAAGAGAGATGCCGCAGCTCCATGGACTGGAACTGACTGGGGCAGCTCTAATAGGCCAGAGATGTGGCTGTGTGGGGAAGAAATCCATATGTCTTCCATCAGTAGTCATAGCATTGCCTGGGGCGCCAAGATGTAGATTCCAAACTGTGCTTGACATTCTGGAGGTGTCTCACAAGGAAGAACTACCAGAAACAGCTCACCGTGGCTGCACTTCCAGTCACCCGGGGAAAGACTAGGCTTCCACTAGGCTTCCACACTGAGATACTACCTCTAAATACAGTGGGGGATGAGAAAAGAGAAAGCACTGGGGCGCCTGGCTGGCTTAGCAGAGTGTGTGACTCTTGATCTCAGGGTTGTGGGTTTGAGCCCCACATTGGGCATAGAGATTACTTTAAAAAAGAGTGAAGGCATATGAAATGGGTAAAACTGAGCCTTGTTGAAACATTCAGTACCTCTTTGCTTCAGAGCAAAGTTGTTCATTCATTCATTCTTTTATTTATTCGTTTGTTCATATGACATTTATTATACGTTGTATACCTGTATGCCAGGCACTGTGAAGAAAATGAGGAAACGCCAAAGGAAACCACCTCAGGATGATGCAGAGTGACAGGGGCCCATTAATTCTGATTGGAAACTGACTGAAGGTTGTCCCTCCATCTATTCATTCATTCACTCTCCAAATACTTGCTGAGCATCTGTCTGCTCTGTGCGAGACCCTGTTGTAGGTTCTAGGGATGCAGCATCGGATGGACTAGACCAAATCCCTGCTCCAAGGGAGCTTACCTTCTCATGGGAAGATGAGAGATGGCCAATAAACACAGAAACGTGTCAAGTTATGTCAGAAGCTATGAAGGAAAGTAAAGCAGGCAAGGTGCCAGGCATCAGGGGATGGAGCCTGTGACTTCCTCATACTGTGAGGTCGCAAAGAGGGATTCCCCAGACTCCAGGTCAGGGACAGGAGCCCTCTACTTTGCCTGCTGGAACATGCAGGATTGAGCCAGCAAATTCTATCCCCGAGTAACAATTAAAAACACACTGAAGAAAGCATCTACATATGGAGGGCTTCTGGCAGAGGCTCCACAATGCCAGAGGCTGGTGGGAATACTTCATCGTCCTCTTTTGTTTACCATAGCCATCAACAGGGTAATAAAACCAGTCTAATTCATGCACTGTGCTGGAAGTACCTTATAAAAAGTGACCTCAAAGCACTTGGCAAAATGAAGTGCTGGTTACATAAACAGCAAGTAATAATAAAGTTCATCTCTGGGTCAGGGAAGCAAGGGTAAACCTCCCTGGCACCATTGTTTTAATCATTCTCATTAATCTGAACAGGCAAGATCATGTATCGCCTCATTTCCTCCAGAGCAATAAAGTGTTAAGAGGTTCATTCTGATCAAATGTCGGAGGGTCCACAGCAATCACAAAAGTGTAAATGAATTTAAATGAGGCTAATGGAGAGTTCCTCTCACGCTCCTTGCTACTCCAGAAAAAAAGAAGTTAAATACAGTTAGGACGTAGCCATTGCTAAAATGATTATCACGGGGGGAGAAGGAGGAAACAGATGTGTTCTGAGTGTCAACTACATGCTCGTGTAGATAATGTGCTAAGTGCTGTATATTTAATCTTTTAAAGGCCACTGAGAGTCAAGTGTCACGATTGTTTGTTAGAAAAACTGGGATCAGAGAGGTTAAGCCACCTGCATAAAGTTACACAGCCTGTATGTGGCAGAATGTAACCCACATTTCTCTAACTCCAAAGTTAACAGCAATCAGGTGCACACATCCAAGCGGGGAACACAAATGTGTGCCACAAGCTGTTAGAAGACAAATGGGGGCAGTAGGGTTGCTGTGAACTGGAAAACATCTCATTCACCCAAACACGAACAAATGCAATGTGTGCTGAAACACTTTGCAGGAACGTAAAACACAAGCAGAGGATGCAATTCAATTTGTTTACTTCAGGGGTCACCCCAGATGAGCTGCAAAATGATCTGATGGAAAAATCCCTTTGATAGGAGACAAAAGACCAAAGGTATGGCCCCTTCTCCCCTACTCATGAGCTGTGGGAACTTGAATAAGTTTTTAATCTCTCTGTTGCTGCCCTTGGCTTGTTTATAAAAAGGAAATCTCTCTGTCCAAAGGCAGAAGGCTAAATCTGGTGACCGTTCAGATGCTTCTTGTATTTAAGATCTAAGAAAATCATTGCTGGAAAACTATGGGCATGAAAATCACCAGGTACCACCAAATTCCTGAAGGGGCCACAAAAGAATTTAGTTCTTCTCCACAAAGGTTAGCTTGGTGAAGGTTAGTTTGGCGATTACCAAGAGGTCAGCTTAACTTCCTGCCACATTCACTCAGACACACACACATACGCACCAGCCCCTCCCCCCCCAGAGACACAGCAGGAACAAACACACACAGGACAGTATGTCATGACCCAGGTGGCCACTGACCTTCCAAATACTGGGTTCAGTTGTTTGGGGATGTATTTGTCCCGGTCTTTGATTTCTGTTTGGCCAAGCTTGACCACAATGTAGGGATCCGCTTTGCCATCCGAATCAGCAGGGCTGAGATTAAATGCCTGGAGAGAAAGAAAATTCTGTTGGTCCAGTGGTTCCCAACATTGGCTGCACACTCAGATCACGGGGGATTTTTAAAAAATATGGATGCCTGAGTTCCATCCCCAGATTCTAATTTAATTGACCCTGAGCTTTGGGACTTTTAGAAACTCCCTAGATGATTCCAGTGTGCATCCAAGGTTAAGAACCACTGCTTTAGCCTCTCCATTTTGCTGCTGAAAGAAAAGTTATTGGCTTTTCTCAAGTTGAACTTTCTCTGGAGCCATCTCCCCAGTGGAAAGCAATGCTTGGCACAGAGTAATGAGCATTATGCTGGACACGAGCCAGAAGGCATGACTTTGAGTTCTAGTCCTATTTCTTGTATGATCTTGGGCAGGCCCCTCTCCAAGATCTATCTGTAAAATCAGGGGGAGGGGGACGTGAAGGCCCATCCCACAACTGATGGGCTCTGAATCCATGACTCCGTCAGGCCTGCATTTATCACGGGCCAGCTGAGTAGTGGTCTGTTTCTCAGAGTGAGGTCTGCTTCTAGACAATCTGGGCCTTAACCCATCCCAAGGAAACGCTTTCTAAGCGAAGGCCCAGATAGGGGGCTGGTGAGAAACTCTGTAGAAATGAGAGCTGAGTGAGAAACGATCCCATTTTTAGGACTCTGTCCTACAGATGGAATACATAAGCACACAAAGCTCTGTTTTCAAGGATGCTCATCAGAGCATTGTTTTCTAGCCAGATTTGTAAATAACCTGTATGTTAATTACTTAGGGAGAAATCCAATATAGAGAAATCCAAAATACCCTTTCCCCATTTGCTCTCATCACATCACCCAGTTTTAATTCCTCACGTAGCAGTTACCTCTGACATTCATCTCATTTATCTGCTCCTCTGTTTATTTTTGTCCTTTCTTAATCCCCACACCACCCCCCCCCCCCCCCCGGCTAGTGTGTGATCTCCATCAGAGCAAGGGTGCCGTCTATCTTGTTCATTACATTATCTCTAGGACCTAGAGCAGGGTCTTAATATTTGTTGAACGAATGAATAAATGGGAACTACATTAATTCAAGAAAACACTACGTGTCTACTACAAAGAAGAGGAACACCTATATGTACTGATCTGGAAAATGACCAAGTTATACTATATAAGAGAAAAAGAGATCAATATGTAATGCATGAAGCAAGAGTCTATTAAATAAGTACTTAGATGTAGCTGTAGACAAGTGTAAATACAGTTGACTCTTGAAAACATGGGTTTGAACTGTGCAGGCCCACTTACATGTGGGTTTTTTTCAATAAATACGGTACAGTACTGTAAATGTATTTTCTCTTATGATTTTCTTAATAATATTTTTCTGGTCTCTAGCTTACTTTACTGTAAGAATACAGCGTATAATACATAGAATACACAAAATATGTGTTAATCAACTGGCTATGTTATCAGTAAGCTTCAGGTCAAGAGTAGCCTTATTAGTAGTTAAGTTTGTGGGGAGTCAAAAGTTATATGTGGATTTTCAACTGAGAGGGGGGTGAGCACCCCTCACCCCCACATTGTTCAACTATAGATATGGATGTGTTTACATAGTCATAAGAAAAGTGAGTTATTTCCAGGGATAGAATTGCAGAGGTGGGGAGATTTGATTTCTTTCTTGGAGCAACTTTTAAGTAGTAGTTTTTTTTACATTTTTGGATATTTTATTAAATTAAAAGATTTTTTTAAAGATGTTATTTATTTATTTGACAGAGAGAGAGAGAGAGAGAGCAGAAGCAGGTGGAGCGGCAGGCAGAGGGAGAGGGAGAAGCAGACTCCCTGCTTAGCTGGGAGCTCGTCTCGGGGCTCGATCCCAGCACCCCAGGATCATGACCCGAGCCGAAGGCAAATGCTTAACCAACTGAGCCACCCAAGTGCCCCTGTAAGATTTTTAAATTAACTTATTATTTATATTTTCCCTAAGTATTAAAGAATAATTCATCTTTGTTTTATGCCTCATTTATGTTTCTAAAAAAGGATATAGGCAATTTGAAGAAGGAAGTTAGAATAAAATAAGCCTACTGCAATCAAATAGGATTATGAAAATCAACTCCAAGGGCAGGATATGAAAACAAATACATGAACCATAAAGGTTCAGCAGAGATTTGCTTTGATTGAACATCAAATGTGGCCCCAAGCTTCCGGGCAATCAGGTCAAAAAGTTTCATAATTAAAGTGTAGTGCTCTCAACCAAGAAACAGACTCTTAAGTACAGAGAACAAATAGGTGATCACCAGAGGAGGAGGGTGGGGGATGGGGAAATAAGTGATGGGGATTAAGGAGGGTACCTGTCGTGATGAGCACCCGTGATGTATGGAAGTACTGAATCCCTATGATGTACAACTGAAACAATATTACAACGTATGGTAACTAACAGGAATTTAAATAAAAACTTAAAAAAGGGAAAAAAAAGTGTAGTGCTCTCGTTATCAGAAAGTAGGAAGCCTAGAGCAGAAAAGATACTTTTCTTGGAAATATATTTGAAATGAAATTTCTGACCGCGACAATGCAGAGCCCGAGCCTGGGGGAGGATTTCACAGGGATAGCTGTTCTGCTTTGCCCTGGTTTTGCTCTCTTGCCTGTGAGTTTCCTGCTCCAGGCCTATTTGGTCTTCTTTCCAGCTATCAGGCAACCACAGAGAGCAAATGAAGCTACCCAGAGCAGTCTTACATGCCTGCGAAGTATTTTCCCTGAGTGAAAAGCCAGCAAATGTGCACATTACCAACCAAACTTCATACCCCCCGTTATGGACTGCAGTGTGTGCTCTCAACATTCTGTGTCCAAGCCCTAACCCTTGATGTGACTATATTTGGAGACAGGGTCTTTAGGGAGCTAATTAAGGTTCAATGAGGTCATAAGGGTGGTGCCCTAATCCAAAAGGACTGGTGGCCTTATAAGAAGAGGAAGAGACACCAGGTCTCCTTCTCCCTGGCTCTCTCTCTTTCTCACTCTCCTGCTTGAACTCTCATTATGTGTATGTGTGTGTGCGCGCACGTGCTTACATGCTTACAGAGGAAAGGCCATGTGAGGACACAGTAAGAAGGTAGCCACTGACAAGCCATGAAGAGAGGCCTTACCAGAAACCAATTCTGCTGGCAACTTGATCATGGACTTCCAGCCTCCAGAATGGTGAGAAATAAATGTCTGTCATTTACCTCACCACCGTCTGTGGTACTGGGTTATGGCAGCCTGAGCAGATTAAGACAATCCCTCAGAGTAAACAAGAACGGCTTACCGCAACAACGTACACCCTGATCAGGACTTTGACGGGGTGGTTGGGTGGAACGCCTTGCTGGATTCTCAGCTGCCCACTGTCCTCGATGCTGGAATCCTTGGGGCTCTTGTAAATGCAGAAGGAGCCCTGGAACAGTAAAGCATGACCCAGTGAAACGAGATGGTCATGTGTCCCACCAAAGCCCTAGAGGGCATAGTGCTGGGAAAATGAGTGGAGTCTGGGACCCAGCAGGACCTGGGCTGGCGCTACCCTTGTGTCTGGGGGTCCTCAGGCAGTCCACGTAAACTGCTTGTGTCTGAGGTGCTTCTCGGTATGTCAGTGAATCGGTGTTGGTACAATAACAGCCTCCTCATAGGGCTGTTCGGTGAGGAATGTGGATAGGAGCATCAGATGGGATACTGAGGACCTTCAACACACAGGGAGCTGAGCTGGTGCTTTCCCCCACTAGGTCCTTCGAGGCTTACTGCAGTATTCCTATTTTCCGATGCTGCCAATGAGTCCCATGGAGGTCAAGTCCAAGATCACGAAGCGAGTTAGTACTACAATATCAGAGAGGGGCCAACTGCAGTCTCTGCGCTATTTCCAGCACACGGCCCTGCACCAAATGGTCCAGCGCACAGCAGGTCATAGTAAATGCCAACCACTTCTTTGTGATACTGACACCGAGAGTCTGCCAGGATGAACAGTTAGTGTTTGATTAATCATCCAATGAGTACATCTGCATAGATCATCTATTTGGTAGGTCAGGGGTGGGAGAAGCAAAATAAAATTCAGTGATCCTTTTAGGTAACAACTCTGTCTCCTTATATCCCATCAGACTGAGTTCCGACTCACTTCATTGACCACAAGCCAAATATTTCAAAAGACCAGGGCTAGACCTTGTGGGGTTCTAGAGAAGCTCTTGCATAAAGACTAGGGAATTTTCTTACACACATCCCGCACCACAATCTCATTAACAGAATTGAGTCACATCAGTCATTTACAGACAGGAGAGCCAAATAAAAGGGTTAACTTTGGAACTTGCCTTAAACTTCCCTATGACTCGGTCCCCATCCAGGCCATGGTCATCCTCCGTAGACTTGCCTCTGAAGAGCTCAAAGGTTTTCACCCAGTCTTCAAAATGGTTGAATTCACTCTCGAGATCACCCTCATATATCTTTAGGGAGAAGGGAGAAGAGAGTGCTCAGAGGAAGGAAGGCCCAGGATTGATTTAATGAGAAATGCCAAGATTCTCCAAAACTAGCCTTGATATATGCCCATTCGAAAAATCTAAGAGGCCACAGTTCATTTATTTCTAGCAAAAAAAGGAATATGATTGACGCAGCATTCCTAGAACTAGCTACCACTCTGAAACTTATAAAATCTTTTGGCTAAACTTTGAAGTTCCAAGAAGTATAGCTAAACCAAAATTTTTTTAAAATATATAATATATTATGATAAATATGATAAAGCTTTTTATAGCAAATTGATATCATCTGGTTATTGTATCTAGACTATAATATTTTGAGGACATTCAAATCGATAAATGTCCATTAAGCATCTAATTCTTAACACATATGAAATAATGGAATATTTTTTATCATCATGCATATAGACATGAATTTTCTAAGTGTGAAGTTACATATATATATGTACTTTAGAAATGCAAAATTGAATTGAGTTTTAGGTTTGGTAATATAATTAAATCACTTATGCAAATTTCCTATCAAAATTACTTATCTAAATTTCTTACATGTAATTTTCATACTCCTAATTTTCATATCCATAAATATGCCTCTAGCTAATAGCCTCTGACTAATGTTAAGATTGGTCTGATGGAGCTGACTTTAGTGAGAGTTAAAACTCCTGCTGTTTGGGGGCATCTGGATGGCTAAGTTAGTTAAGCAGCCAACTCTTGATTTTGGTTCAGGTCATGATCTCAGGGTCCTGGGATGGAGCCCTGCTTTGGGCTTCATGCTCAGTGGGGAGTTTGCTTGAAGATTCTCTTTCCCTCTGCCCCTCCCCCCAACTCATGCTCGCTCTCTCTCTCTCTCTCAAATAAATAAATTAATTAATCTTTTAAAAAAACTCCTGCTATTTTGATCATATTTTGAGCATGATGATGTCAAGCTCTGAGAGGTGAGCCAAGGGGAACTCATCCACTGCAAGTTACCTTGCTGGATCCAGGCTAACCAATGTAAGTTATGCCCCTTCTCAATATGAGCACACAGAAAATAGAAAATTCGCAAGCTCCATTGTCTTGCTTGCATGCTTGTTAAGGTTCATTTCTCTGCATCAGTGATTATAATGAAGACAAAGTAAGTTAGTTCAGACAAAGGCATTACTAGGGTTGACTGAAACACTAACAGAACCCCCATCTGGAGCTTCCCACCCCTGGTGAAGATGGCCGTGTCCACACACCTGCAAGACAGCCAGGTTGGGGATTTCGTCTTCTTTGGGTTTCTTCTTGAGCATCTTGTCCTTCTTCTTCTTTGGCCCATTTTCTATATTTACGACCACCTTGTCTGGTTTTGCCTCTGTGGATATTTAGTGGAAATTGTTAGACTTCTCAGTGCTAATGAGATGAGAAGAAACAGAGTCAAGCTCCCTCTTTCCCTTTGTTCCTGCAGGTGTCAGGACTTTTGTTTTCAAAAAGAAATAGTAACATGTCACTGCAGAGTTGCTACATACGGCCTAAAGTCTGTGTGTTGCAGGATGGGAGGTGACACCACTCACGGAGCAATGCAGTGACAACAGATCCCCAGGGCCAGGCAATGTTCTGGCCTGTCCTGGTGTAGGTAAGAATTCATTAAATTAGGCCCAGAGATGGAAGGAAGGAAGGAAGGATGTTGCCCAGTCATCCAACTGGCTAAGAAGTTGGTAACTTTTTATCATCATGCACATAGACATGAATTTTCTAAGTGTGAAGTTACATGTACTTAGAAAATTGAATTTTCTAAGTGTGAAGTTACATATACTTAGAAAATATATTTCCTCTCAGATCTGCTTAGGGACTTGAGATTCATCTAGTTCAGCAACCTGAGGCTCAGCTATGTTAAGGGTCTTGCACCAAGTCACAAATGTCATTAGAGAGATTACTCAGGAATTTTCCAGGAGCAGTGTCTAGGAAAACACCATCTGGAACAGACCTCTAGCTCTGCTCTTTTCCAGCGTATAAATTTGAGCTAGCTACTCAGTCTCTTTGTACCTCTGTTTTACCATCTGCAAAGTGAAGATGCTGTGGCTAATGTCACGAGGCTGGTCTTGGGATTAAATCTGCCAATTAGGAGTGGTTGAGGAACTGAGTGAGCCTGGTTCTGGTTCTCCTACTTCTCTCAGTGTCACCTGAAAAAGCACCACCACTTGCTATCACTGTTAATTTTAGGTCAAGACCTACCGATGGCCTGAATCGAGTTTGTGGTCATTTCAAATCCCTGCCCTCTTTCATTTGAAATTCTGCCAAACCAGATCTACCGGATCCTTAACTGAATTGGGAACCTAAAACCCGGGTCACCTCTATTAAAGTTCACCACGCTGAATCTGGCCCATCATGCCAGCTTCCTCCTGCTTTTGCTTTGCTGTTTCTACACCAAGACAGGAGCCAGCACTGAACTGGGTTCAGGAGACCTGAGATCTGGTCCCAGTCCAGCTCAAATCAGCTACATTTTTAGAGTGTTGTCATGTTCATGAGCTTGTTCCTCACATGGGAAATGAGGGAGTGGAGCACGAGCATGCCTCCCACTGCTTCCTTTTAGTATTATCTAACCCCAATGGCCAGATTCCATGCTCAAATAACTTACCTGCATTGCCTCTTTTCTCCTTGGGATTGCTCTCCTTTTCCTTTGAGAAAAGAGGGAGATTAGATTATTGACCCTACCATGACTCATTTATGAGTCCTGATGGCTCAACAGTTCCAATTCCATCATCTCAGCCTTCTGCATTCTTGGAGACGCCATTTTAAAAGACTATGCAAACTGTGTCCAAGAAGCCCCCAAGCGAAGCTTCGCTGATAGACCAGGACCCTCCTGCAGCAAGATACCTGTCCCTACAGAAGAGGCGCCCATGTGTCCGAAAAAAGCACCAGCAAGCAGCAGACTTCCCTGCCCTGTGTGCACAGCCCCCTCTCGGCTACTACCTCTCTCCCCTCTTTTCCCACCTCCCTGGAGCATCACCCAGTTGGCACCATGAGTTCTATCTGCTGGCACGCCAGGCTGTTGGGTCTTTGGGTTGGTCCCAGGGGTTGGGGAGGTTAGCAGGGTAAGGAAAAAGGGCTGAGCCCTCCCTGGGATTGGTAGTGCCCACTGCAACAACAGGAGGGAGTTTGGAGGCAGGGGCCACCGTTTGGCTTGTTTATTTAACTATATATCAATACTCACGGGTAGCCCTAGATGAAGAAACTATGGTCTTAACAAACGGAAGAATCAGAAGAGTTTCTATGCAACTGAATGTGATAACATAGGACTAATTTTCCTTTCCTTGTTTACTTAAGGATGAGACGTTTTACCAAATTCAGCCCCTGAGATTTTGCCTGAATCTCTTGACCCACTTTCCAGTGGTTCTCCAGTTTTGTAACGCAATATCTTTCTTGTTCCATATACACAAAGCTCTGCTCTGGCAACCTGTTCATTATTTGCATTTGCTGAGGCTAACTCCTCTGCCTTTACATTGGTAGCTTCCCATACGAACTTAGAATCCTGCTGGAGACCTGGGGCCCTTTGATCTGGCTATCTCCAGGTGCACCTGAAGCCCCTATTGCTATACCCATCTATCCAGAGACCCCCTTTCTCATGGCTGGACCTTTCAGAGTCTGACAGGGGCTAGATCTCTAGATGCTATGCCGGACTGAACATCCTTCCAGCATTTACAACAGAGCCTGTGTCCTAGGGTCAGCTCCAGCCAGAGGGTGAGGATTTTGCAATTCTGGATGCTTCCAGGCTTTGACCCTTTCTGTAGTTAAAAGAACTGCACCTGAGTGGGGCCTAACCTATAGTAGAATCTAGAAGGGGATAATATGGGTTTGCAGGGGTGTGGGAGGGTGTTGTGGAGGGCGCTGTGTTTTCTTATCCAATCCCTTGACTGTCACAGCCAGGAGACACTCTACCTTCTGTGGTTTCTTCAGGGAGGCATAATATTTGGACCACCAGTCAATGACATTTTCAGCAGATTCATCCGCTATGGTCCTCTTTCTCCTCTTGGTCGACCTTCGAGAAAGTTTCCTGGCATCCTGGCAAGGGATGAGGGATGGATTATTAGGGAGGCCTCATGGATCTGCCTGCTGGTGGCTGACTGGTTTCCTGAGGAAGGGAACACACAGGTCCCCTTGGAAGCAGATGAGGGTGTGAGCACCTTTTGAGGCTGTAGCTCTCTGTAACATCTCCATAAATGATACTTTAATCATCCACCCATGCACTCACTCATTTATTCAGCGAACATTTACTATTACTTAAACACACAGATGTGAGATATGGTGCCTGACACTGGGGATGAAAGGGGAATGAGAAACAATCCCCGCATCAGGGAAGCTTCATTCAGTAGAGGAGACAGGCAGGCGGCATGATACGGTGTGCTATGGCAGAAAGGCATTAGTTGGGGTGCCTGGGTGGCTCAGTCATTAAGTGTCTGCCTTCGTCTCAGGTCATGATCCCAGGGTCCTGGGATCGAGCCCCGCATCGGGCTCGTGCTCTGCAGGAAGGCTGCTTCTCCCTCTCCCACTCCCCTGCTTGTGTTCCCTCTCTCCCTGTCTCTCTCTCTGTCAAATAAATAAATAAAATCTTTAAAAAAAAAAAAAAAAAGAAAGGCATTAGTTGACAAGCAATTAATATAAGTTTTGTGATTCTCAGTTTCCTCTGCTGGGGACAATCATACCTGCCTACTTCACTGTTGGGAGGATTAAGCGATGTAATGTAGACAATTTCCTGTTAGCGTCATTTCTGATGTGAATGGGTCCAAATCAATGACACCAGCAACCATATGCAGGAGGAGACGGAGGGACAGGAGAGGCGGTGATGCATGAATAGGAGAGAGGAGGCATTTTGGGAGAGGACAGTGGTCCCATGACAGACTCATCATGTACTCATCATCTGTCTGCTCTCAGACATCTCTGGAGTAGCTGTGATGTGCCAGGTACTCTATCAAGAGCAGGGGATACTGATATCTTTAAGAAAATCATCTGTGACCTGGTGGGGCCCACAATTTTATGGTGGCAATGCACACTTAAGCCGGAATTCTAACAGGAAGTGGCAGGTGCACTGCTGGTAGGATGCAGAGAAGCCCTTGGGGGCCAAGGAGGGTCATACCGAGCATTGATACAATAGGAACAGCCTGAGCAAATATCCATTAATCTGTCCTACTCTGCTTTTTATTTCAGCCTTTACCATGAGCTGGGCAGGCAACCCCTCTGGACTTTTTAAAAACTGGCTGCTGCTTCATCAGTTGACACAGCAGCATTGTGCACGCAAATTTATGACTTAGAAAGATTCATCACATTCATGTTTTATGGTTCTTTGTGTACTTATCCCTCTTGCCTTCCAGAATCTCAGCTAAGCATTTTGCTTTAGACTCCAGAGAATACGTCTTTTTTTTTTTTTTCTTACTTGTCCTTGTACGAAGTAGGTTCTAAATATTTGTGGAATGGGTCTAGATACAGAAACTATTGTTTTTCCAAGCTAATTAATTTAGAAGAGTTTCTGTTCAATTAAATATGACTGTCACAGTTGGCTAGCACTTGAATTTCATATACATTGGCTTATCTGTGAAGTGGATATCAGTATGTTCATTCTACAAATGAGGAAACTGATGCTCAGAAACGTGAAGTTGCTTGCTCACAGTCACACAGCTAATAGGTGGGAGGATTAGTATCTAGAGCCTCTAAAGCAAAGCTTTGTAAATATGAAAAGGGGTTACATTCTGACCTTAGCTTTACCATCTTTGGGTGGCTCCTGGGCTGCCGATTTGGGTTCAGGCTCAAGCATAGGAGATGAGTCAGGGATATCAACCACGCTGCTTGGTTGAATCTGGGCAGAGTCGGGTACCACTGTGGGAGGCGGCTCAATATCCACATAGATGTGATCTGTTGGAAGCTCCTGTGAGAAGCCAAGGGATCCAGAGGGCTCAGTGGCTACTGACAAATCTGAAAGAGCTAAAATTGGAAGTATATCAGGTCAACCGGGTTGCAAAGCAGGGTGGTCATTTCAGAGATCCAGTACTGAGAGTCAGACAGATCTGGATTCAAATATGGCAAGTTCTTATATCTCTGACCCTCATTTTCCTTATTTACAAAATGATGGTGAAAAAACCCATCTCACTGGGGGATAATCAGGATTCAATAAATGCTTGTACTTATTATTGACCCTTCAGAGCTATTTTAAATAACTGTGGTCATAAGGAAAGTGCATATCAAGGTTTAGGGCACAGGTCCTCTGTGTGGGTTTTCTTTTCCCAGTCCCAGTTAACTCAGGGAAACTTTGGAGGCTCCAGAGGTCTGTGAGCTCCCAACTGCAGGCTAGACTCTGGACACGTGATTACATGTGCTCATCAGGGAGCAGGGGTAGGTTCCTGGACTTTGTGAGATTTTTAACTGGATTGTTGATCCAGTGAAAAGATCGTAACACTGTCCTTTCTTGCCAACGGTCCTCTTCTCTCCATTTTGTGCTGTAGAATCCAGTACTCAGAAACATTTCCCAGTTGGGAGCCTCCGGAGTTTCTGTTCCCCAGCTGCTGATTTTTCAACAGAAAATTCAACTCCATAAACACTTGATAGGCATCTACTCTGTGCTGGGCACAGAGATGGAGAGATCAGTGGGTCAGAATAGAAAGCTCAGAAATAGACTAGGGATATATGGCTACTTGATTTATGAAAAAGCTGACAGCACAAAACAATGGGGCAAGTAGACCCTTTTTTGGGGGAAAAGGATGTACTCTACGGAGAAAAATGTAGCAAGCTCCCTATCTTAAACCATATACAAACACAGAGAACTGCAGATCTAAATGTGAAACTTAAAAACATAACACTAATAGAAGAAAATATAAAACAACATTTTTGTCACCAACAATTGAGAAAGCGTTTTCAAACAAAATTCTGAAAGAACAAGCCATAAAGTTTAAAATTCAGATGGATATGATTACATTAAAATGAAGAATTTCTCTTCAAAGATGGGGATCACAGGCAGGTTAGCTTAGCAGTTATCAGAGTAGGAGAAGATATGATCTACAGGATATAAACATCTAGAATATACCAAAAAGAAAATTTAAAAAAACACATAAAACTTGGGCAAGGGATGTGGGCAAATCACAGGAGGGAAATCAAGGTGGCGCAAGCATGTAAAGAGATGTGTAAATTCAGGAGTAATCAGAGACAACCAAGCTGAAATAAAAATGAGATACCACTTTATACACAGCAGAATGACAAAAACCAAACCAAACCAAAACAAACGCTCAGAAAGGTGGATAATAGCAGGTGGTATTGAGAAAGAAGCAAATGGTACTCCAGACGCAGTAATGGTAGGAACGTAAACTGGTGTAGACTGGTGTAAACCAGGACAGCTCTCTAGAGTGCCCTCTGGTAGTAGTACTCAGTGGAATTACATGTGCACATCCTCCGGGAACCAGTAATCTCACTCCTGGGTGTATATTCCAAAGAAAATCCCACACAGGATCCTCCCGTGGGCAGCGCTCACAAGGATATTCATAACAGCATCATTTGTGGAAGTGGAGAGTTGGAGGCAGCCTAGGGGTCCAATATGAGGGGAAAGGAAAAGCAAAGTGGGGTGGATCAGTAGGTAGTGGTAACAAACTAATGTACACACAGCAATATGGATAGATCTTAAAGCATTGCCTTGAGCACAAGAGTAGGAAACCAAATGAAGATTGCAGCATCGTGTTATATATGTCATTTAAATTGACTGAAATTTTACAAAGAGGGGCAGTGTGGGGCCTGCGGTGGGAGGGGGCGGGAGTGGGGATGGGGCATAAGGTACAGGAGGGCAGTGGGTATGAGACAGAAGCCTTGACCAGACCAGTGATGACTACACAGCACGAGCAGAGAAGTGCAGTTAACTCCACTCTGCACCTGAGATCCAAAAGGGAACAAATCAAAGTAACATCAAGCAAAGAAAAATGTCAGGGAGTGGAGGCGGAAGGGAGCTGGACTCATATTCGTGGAAGCCTTCTTAGAGGAGCTGACCCTGATGTCAGTCTTAGAGTCAGAACCTGGCAGCTAAAGAAGCTGAGGGGACTGCAGGAGCAAATTCTTCAGAAGGCTCGACTTGACGGTGGGGCTCCCACTTCCTGTGGTGTCCCCTAGCAGGCCTCTGCAGGCGCGACGGCTTTGTAGTCTGAAGCTCCAGAATCTAGAAGGTGCTTCCTACCTTGCTCAGCTTGGGTTCCGTCCACCTGGGAGGTGAGGGCCGGGGACTCCTTGGATTTACACAAAAACTGCTTCAAGCAGTTGATGGTGTAGGTGCCCACCAGGGTGCTCCTCCCAAAAGCTCGCCAGTCCACCACGCAGATGCTCAGGGGCGGGTGCAGAAGCTCGTTCTCAGGCAGCTCCTGGGAAGAGAGGCCAGGGTGAAGTGGGGAGCACTGCCTGGGCTGAGCCCAGCTGCTGGTGCCCTGCTGACCTCTTTAGGGGCAGGATCAAAGCAAGCCAGGCACCCATCCTCCCTCTGTCCCTGCCTTTTTGTTCTGCCCTCCGGGTCACCCCTGCAGCTGGCCAGAAGTCTGGAGCATTGCCTTCCAAGCCAGGGAACAATTATCCATAATATGAGGGATGGCACTGACAAGTCATCCCAGGTGTAAAATGCAAAAATCACAGACTGCCAATTCAACTGAACGCTGAGCCAGACCCAAGATAGAAAACAGATGAAAGTGGACACATCAAAAATGGAACTGAGGGTAAGGGGCCAGTGCCCTCCCTCTCCTGTCTCCCGGGGGCCCCAGGGGCTCAACAACGCCCAGTGTGACAGGTTTGCAAACACCGTGCACATTCTCTAATTCCACTCTCTGCTGATTTAGAAATGTGTCCACTGGAGCTGTGTCACACAAAGCAAACGTTCTTCACAGTTAGTTCCAGATCAGAACACAAATATGTGTGTTGAAATATTGAAATAGAAGCTCAGGTGTCAAAAAACATCACTTTAGAAACGTAAGTTCACATGCAAGCCACTGACATGGTACATAACAAATAATTTTTTAAAAATCTAACCACTAAAATAAGTTTCGTTAAGGAACCTTCTAGGCCAGTGGTCTGCAAACTTTAGCATGCATCAGAATCACTGGAGAGTTTGTTAAGCCAGAGGCGTCTGGGCCCCAACCCCCAGCAGTTTCTGATTCAGCAGAACTGGGGCAGGGCCTGAGAATCTGCATTTCTAACAAGTTCCCAGGGGATGCTGATGCTGATGAATTGGGGGCCACACTTTGGGAACCACTGTCCACCTGCTTGGATTTGCTGAACCTTTAAAAACAAGACAATGCAACAGCAATAACAAAAGTCCATTTTATCCCGGTCTGAGATTCTTGCTTTTTACTCAGACTGTTCTTCCTTGTAGGTAGTGGACACCCAAAACTCTGAAGCATCTCCCCAAGCCAAGCGAATGAAGGAGGGGGTCCCGTCTGTGGAAATGAAGGGAGTGAGCGGGCAGGAGAAGGAGAGGCTGTACCACTTCGAAAACGTCTGCCTGGACGCTGAAGTTCGGGTTGTTCTTGTAGCTCTGGATCACACAGGACTTGACTCCTCGTCCCCCACACTCGATGAGGACCTGAGGGCGATCCACGGAGAGCAGCTGCACCTTCTTCATTTCTCGGACTCCCCAGAAGAGGACCTGACGAGGGGACCAGCAGAGCTGTCACTCAGAGACCCCGGGAGGAGCCGGCATGCAGGTGTGCGTGTGGGAAATTAGGTGTGCTGCCCGGGAACTAAAGTATGTTCTTCTGGGACAGGACCGAGCAGCTCCCTGAGAGCCCCGTTCTGGCAGCTATGGCTCGTTTCCACCCCGCAATCCCCTCAGACGACACAGGCAGGTATGACAATGCACCACTGCCCTTAGCCCCAAAGAACAAGTGAGTCCTCCCCTGCACCATACCTCCACTCGGTATTTACTCAGCACTGGCCGAATGTTGGCGGGAACTGGGTAGATCTGGGCAACATCCGGTGAGTCAATGGGAGGGAGCCCTCGTAGCCCAGATGAAGGGACCTACCACACAGAACAAGTGCTGGTTAGAAGGTGGGGGAGAGATGAGGAAGACCAGCACCGCCAAGCAACCACCTCATCCATATGACACTCACTTAACAAAACGAATGTTTCCAGCTTAAAGTGGAGCCAAGACAGTGCATTTTACCACACTTAATGATTTATTCATTGACAAATATTTATTCATTGACACCTTCACGAGGGTGACCAACGTTTAGTGAGCGCTTAGAATGTGCCACAAAGTTAATAGGTTAATAAGCTTTTGGTAAGCTCACAATACAGAGGGGAGAAGAAAAGACAAGTGGGTCCTCACAAGCTGATGAGATCACATTGGAATGACAGCAGAGGTGTGGAGAAGGGCTCTAGTCCGGTTCTGAGCTCTGAGACTTAGCTACGCCCTCATTACATACTAGTACAAAAGAGCTTCATATTTATTTATTTTTTTAAAGATTTTATTTATTTATTTGAGATAGAAAAAGCTCGAGTGGGGTGGGGGGCAGGACTGAGGGAGAGGGACAAGCAGACTCCATGCTGAGCACAGAGCCCAATGCAGGGCTCTACCCCAGGACCCAGAGATCATGACCTGAGCTGAAGGCAGACGCTTAACTGACCGAGCCACCCAGGAGCCCCAAGAGATTTGTGTTTAGTCAAATAGAGACTACATCTTCATCAGTGAAACAGAAATGAAGCTTTCTGAAGACAGACCTCCAGAATGAAAAGGTCATCATTTCCTGTGCATTTGAAGATACAGAAACTGCAGGAGGATAATCCCCGTGCTTCACTGAAATCTCACACAAAGAGCTTGGCAAGTCTACAAAGGCCACCTCACACTGCAAGGCTTGGCTCAATGGGTACTTCTTCCAAAAAGCCGTCGCTGATTTGACCCCAGTCACTGTGGTGGTTCTCCTACCCTTCGGTCCTTGGAATGCAGTGTGTTCTCTATGGAAGCTTAGTGCAGAAATTAGTGGCCTGAGCCCAGAAACCAGGCCCCGCTGTGTGACCCTGTATGAGTCCCTTCCCCTCTCTGGGGCCCCAGATAGTGGGCCCGATGACCCTTCAAACCCTTTGAGAGCCAGATGCACTGGGTATGTTTTTCTGACTTGACCAAGAGGAAGCCTCTATTTACTTCATTTCATTCTCTAAGCCCCTTAAGCAGTGCTCCACACCCAGTGGACTCTTGATCAATGTTTATTGGCTGACTGACACATTAGCTCCATATGCTCGAAAAAGCTTAATTGCTCCTCAAAACAGGCAAAGCACAAACATATCACCATTTCTTCTTCACAGACATATTCTAGCTGGCAACGACAGATGCGCTTAAGCTAATTACGAGACAGCTCAGACAAAGAAGACAGCAGACACCGTGGACGCCAAAGAGGCTGGAGGCAGTGAAGCTGCAGAACCAGACGAGATAAAGGCGCTGGAAGCTGTGAGGACGCATGCCCAGTACCGCCCGGCCTGCGCGACTGAGCCTGCAAGACCTCGCCTCCCTGAGAAAGTTGACTGCTTCTCTAGCTCTGGAGGGAAAGCCACAGAACAGCTGTGGTGGTGGCATAGTCTGGTGCCCCTGGCTGGGCTTTGATAAAAGTACCACATGTTTCCTCATTCCGGGGCCGCCAGGAAATGTTCTGAAGAAGCTTTGTCCCACAGTGCCTGACAGATGCCCTTGAACTCAACACCAACCCTGACGGGCTCTGCATCATGGTGTAGACTGTGTGGCTGCTGGGACTCCCAGCCACGGGTAGACATTTTCACAGGGAAACGGGTTGGCTACTGGCTTACGAATCTGCGTGGTGTGTAGTTACTCGGCACATGGGGCCAGAGGAAGATAAAGAACGGTTATAAATGCAAGAGGGTAAACATCAGAGGTGGGTTGAATAGGTTGGTCCAAAAGCCAATTGCTCTAATAGCCCAGTGGAGACAATATATCGGGACGTCAAAGGAGATCCAGATGCAGGGCCAGGACAAGGACCTAGGGTGCAAAATTTAGACAGGTGCCACTCTCGGGGTCATGCATGACCTTAATCCCAGTCCTGCTCATCTGACAATCGCTGCTGCTCAGAAGCCCTTCTGCGTCCTCTGTGTCCCTCAGCCCATCATTCACATTTGCGATACCCCTCTTCTTTGGTGCCATGGGTAGCACGGCCCAGGGCGCCAGCGCTTGCTAGCTGTGCAAACTTGGAAAAGTTGCTCAGTGTTTCTGGTCTCGGTTCTGTCATTTGCAAAGGGAAGATAATGATATCTAATTCATGGGTTGCTGTGAAGAATGGCTGACACAGCATGCAAGGTGCCTGGCACGTTTTCCGGCACATGTAAATTCCCTAGGAGTAAGGGTCTACTGGAGACAGCAAAGGTGGAAGCTTGACTTCATGCCATCTTGGACTCAGGTGAGCTAGGATTGCTAGTGCCCCAAACTACCTCAGAAGCAAATGTAAATCCTCTCGCAAGGAAAACATTATCACCCTACGCTCAGATTTTGTCTACGTATTTTTGTGAATGAGTGAGACATGTTTGAAGATATTGTATTGAGAGTCTACTATGTGTGTCTGTTATTGTCGGCTTCCATGTGTGACGTGGAGATGAATCTCACACCCCGCTTCCAACCCATCAGCTAATCCCGTGGACTCTACCAGAATCCTTTTTCATGGCTACACTCTTGATCCAAGTCTCCAGTTCTCCAATCTGGATTACCTGAAGAGCCTCCCAGTTGGCCTCCTTGTTTCCCCCTGGGCCCCTTCAGCATATACCCAATCTAGCATCCATAGTTTTCAACATAAACCAGACAAATTTAACAAAATTCAACAAAATCCTCTCTTGGCTTCTCATCTTTTATAGAATAAAAGGAAAACTCCTCACAGTGCTCCACATGATCTTTTCCCTCTGACTTGATCTACACCCTGCTCCAGAAGCACTGGTGTCCTTGCTTGTCCTTGAACATGCCAGGCACACTTAGGCTTCACAGTCTGGCATTTGCTGCTCCTGCTGCATCGAATGCTCTTTGCCCAGATACCAGCATGGCCGACTCACTTCTCCCCTTCAGGTCTTGACTTACATACCGCTTTCTCAGTGAGGCCTCCCTGGGTGCCAAAATGTCGAACTGCCCCCTCCCCCACATACCCATGTCCACTCCACATCTCCCAGTGCATTACCTTTTCTTCTTAGCATGTGTCACACTGCTGTTACATTATAATTTACATAGTATTGCTCTATTATCTTCCCTTCACTAGAATATAAGTCTCAGGAGGGCAGGGAGTTTTGCCTGTTTTATTCACTGATGAATTCTTTTTATTTTTATTTTTATTTTTTTATGATTTTATTTATTTATTTGAGAGAGAGAAAGGGCACGAGTGGGTGGGAGGGGTCGAGGGAGAGGGAGAAGCAGGCTCCCCACTGAGTAGGGAGCCCAACTTGGGACTCGATCCCAGGACCCCGGGATCATGACTGAGCTGGAGGCAGATGTTTAACTGACTGAGCCACCCAGGCACCCCTCACTGATGAATTCTTAAGAACATGCCTGACACACAGTGGACACTCAATAATATTTGTTTGACTGCATGAATGAGTGAAATAGTCCTGCCTTCAAAAAACTTACAAATTAATGGACACAAGCCTGTAAACAATTTACCTTACTGTAGCCAGAGTTAAAAAGAAGAAGAGGCAATGTGCTATAGGATGGAAGAAGAGAAAACATTTAATTTGACCAAGGTGAGGGTGGGGAGAGCTTCCTGGAGGAGGCATCTCTTGTTTTGAACTTTGATGACCATTATCATAAACAGGTGGTTTAGGTTAATGTTGGGGTGGGTGGAGTGGGGAAGACATTTCAGAATGGGCTAACAGCATGACTAAAAGCAGAGGAGCGCATCTGTGTGGTGAGGTCAGGGAACCTGGAGTAGCCTGACATAAAGAGGCCAGAGTGTGTATAAAGTAATATGAGGAAATATGAGGCTGAAGAAGAAGTTTGAAGATAAGTTTTAGGAGAGCTTGAGTGCTAAGCTGTGGAAATCTGACATTCTCTATGGGCCAGGCTTTCTTTTCATGAGATATGAAAATCACGCCAAAAAAAAAAAAAATTGTCACAGTCACAACATTTGGGAAATTTTGGATCCTCTCAGAGTGTTGACCATGGTAATGGGCATTCCAAGTCCCCAGGAGGGATATAATTTGAAACATTTCCCAAAATTTCTCTTCAGTGTAACTAGAGGGACTGTATTTGGTGTTCCACAAAATAGACTTTGAGAAATGTTTCTGGAGGTAAGAAGTGGGGAGCCATTGATGATTTCTGAAGAAGAGAGTGGAATGAACCAACTTGTCTTCTGGAAGGAATGTGGAGGATGACATAAACAAGAAGAGTAAGAAGCTAGAAGACCAGGAAACAGGCCAGTGCAAGGATCCTGAAGAGATATATGGCAGCAGGAAGATGGAAACCATTCGAAGACAGGCTTGGCCTGGCTAAGGGTGCAGACACAGAGAGAAGAATTAAATCTGAGTCTGAGTTTTCAAGGCAGAGAACAGTGGAGAACAGTGGGGCCATGTGCCAGGACTGGGCGGACAGGGGGTCGGGGAGGGAAGTGGAGACAATGCATTCAGTCTGGACACGGAAGAGCCGAGTTACCAAATCCTTCTTCTGAGACACGGAAGCATTTCAGTAATGGAGGTGGAGAGGCTGAAGCAAACCACCCACAGATGAAAACTGAGAGCGAGCAGCTGGTGACAAATGAAGGCATTTTCCAGCTCTTGTCTTCTCAGCACGTACAAGATCCACATACTAAGTCTGTCATGCTGATGATCAAATTACTTTTTGAACAAGCAATCAAATGAGAAGTCCTAATGAAACCCTAATGAATTATATCTCCTAGGCTGCTCACCTCTGACAATTAACGGAGCTGGGGGGAAGCAGCAGGATCTCTGGGTACCCTCAGCAGTAGAGGGAGGGAAAGGGGAGAGGGGGCCCCTCAGCATGGAGGGACAGGGGAGGGGGTGCCTTCAGCAGTGGAGGGAGGGCGTGAGTGGGGACCCTCAGTCTGGAGGGAGAGAGGGAGGGAGAGGAGAGGGGGGGCCTCAGCATTAAGGGAGGTGGAGAGGGGTACTCTCAGCTTGAAGGGATGGAGGGGGGACCCTTAGCTTGAAGGGAGGTGGTTGGGGTCCCTCAGCATGGAGGGAGAGAGAGAGGGAGGGAGGGAGTGCCCTCAGCATGAAGGGAGGTGGGAGGAGGTACCCTCAGCAGTGGAGGGGGTGGTGAGGGGGGACCCTTAGTGTGGAGGAAAGAGGGAGGGAGAGGGGAGCAGAGCCCCTCAGCATGAAGGGAGGTGGGGAGGGGTATTCTCGGCTTGAAGGGAGGGAGGACCCTTCATACTGAGGGTACCTGAGGGAAGGGATGGGGGAGGGGGACCCTCAGAGTGGAGAGAGAGAGGGAGGGAGAGGGAGGGGGACCCTCCGCATGGAGGGGGAAGAGGGTGCCCTCAGCTGTGGAGGGAGGGGGTGAGGGGAGACCCTCAGTGTGGAGGAAGAGAGGAAGGGATGGGGAGGGGGGGACCCTCAGCATGGAGGGAGGGAAGACAAGGAACCCTGAGAGCCATCCCTTGGTAAGCCTGTAGGGACCAGTCACCCAGCCCCTCACTGAGGGACTAGGGGACTCAGGCTCAGAGCAGGGCAGGCAGCTTCCTGTGGTTAAAGAACAGCTGACTGAATCCCAGTCAGTTAACCCTGAGCCTCAGCTTCCTGACATGTGAAACGGGAGCCTTGCACTAGATCTGGTTTTCCAGCCGTTCCTCTACCACATATATCGCCCTGTACTATTATCCAGTGAACATTTTCATTAGGTAATGCTTTGTTTTTAAAAAGGGAACTTTATGCTGTTAAGCAAAAAAGTAACACTTGCATAAAGGAAAAGCGACTTTAAAAAGAAGACCAGTGAAAACAAAACAGGTTATGGGAATATGGAATGTGAAGCATTTCTTAAACTTTCTTTTCACTATCTTTGAACTGATGTTCCAAGAAGAACACTTTGGGAAATGTTCCTACTGGCAACATTGATCTTTTTTAAAGGCGCTCTCAGCTGTTCCCTGCCCCATTACACTTTCCAGCCTCTCAGCCATCAGGGGAATCGATCAGTATAGTTGGATTCTAGGCCCTGACCTGCCATGTTAAGCAAGTCATTACCTCTCTATTACCCACTCAATTTCTTCACCTGAAATAAATACGCGGGACTAGACATTTTGCTTCAATATTCTGTGGCATACTACCACTACTAATAAAATAGGTGGTATTTGTTGAGTGTTATTCCATGCCAGGCACTTTCAGTAGACTGATCATCATCCCCATTTTGCAGGTGAAACAGAAATTAAGTAGCTTACCCAAGGTCACATACTACTAAGTGGTGGAAATGAGATCCATACCCTTGGGATCCGACTCTGTCACCTTCCCTCTCCCTTGTCTCTATGTTTTAGGAGTGCTTGCCTTTTAGTTTCTCTATTAAGTGAATTTTTTAAAAATAGGATTTCTGAAAAACAGGGTTACCTAGAGAGGAATTGGTGTGACCCAAATGTAAAGTGCCCCCTGCCTCAGTGAATGCAGTGGTCTCTTCTGCTCACTTCTTTTCCAGGTCTTTTCCATGTCCCATTTGGTTTTCCACTGACCAGTCAGACCTGAGAGTCTCAGCTTCCCTCCCCAGTATCCTGCCTCTGCTTCCTGGAAAAGTCTTCTGAGACACACGTTCAGAAATTCCCCTATTTTTTTTTTAAAGATTTTATTTACTTATTTAACAGAGAGAGACACAGCGAGAGAGGGAACACAAGCAGGGGGAGTGGGAGAGGGAGAAGCAGGCTTCCCGCCGAGCAGGGAGCCCGATGCGGGGCTCGATCCCAGGACCCTGGGATCATGACCTGAGCCGAAGGCAGACGCTTAACGACTGAGCCACCCAGGCGCCCCTGAAATTCCCCTATGTTTTAATAGGACTGATTAAGATGGGGGCAACTGTCTTCGGGGCAACTATGTGATGCAGTGTAAGAAGCAAAAGGCTTTAAAGGTCTCAGTTCAGCTCTTAGCTGCATGATGAGGTAGGTCAGTCAATTGCACCAAGCCTCAGTTTATGATCTGGAAAATGGGAATCATAATACCTCAACAGGGTTGAGGGAGGTCTACGTGATGAAAGTTATGTGAGGCAGCAAACATCACGTGTGGTCAGTGCCCACCAGTTTGCTCCCTTCTTCCCCCGTATCCTCTCATGGTCCACGTGAGCTCCAGGACGTGCACACAGGGCTGCGCAAGCGTTGCTGGCCAAACCCATGAGGCTTTCACCCTGGGACTCTGACCTCCAGCACGGGGGCTCTAGAAATAGCCTATGTTACCTGAACTGTTAAGTGGCGGTTCCCAGATCCCAAGAAGGGGACACCTCCAGACCCAGGGCAGCAGGGAGCGACCAAGCACAGCTTTATGGAGTGTACTTCCAGCGAGGGCCTGTCTCTGGCCAGGAAGATGAGGTGGATTCGAGGGCAGATGACACTTCCAGCTCGCTTACCTGCAGCAGTTCAAATACAGCGAGGAGGTCCCCTCCGGAGAGGCTCCCACAAAAGATGGGGTGATAACACAGCCCGGGCGGCTCATAGTCCTGGTCAGCTAGCTTCACAACAGGAGCAGCCACGGTGGCACCCAAATATTCTGGCTTCCCCTAAGGCAGAAAAGAAAGGCATTTGTCCCCCGTCAATACCTACCTGGATCTGACCTGCGTCGGTGCACCTTTAAAACTGTCAGCCTCAGTGTGTCCCTCTTGCTACTAACTCATTCTCTTCTTCTGCCAAGCGTCTTTCATCCCTGACCAAGGCTGGGGGCAGTGGGGAGCGTGCAGGGGAATCCGTTTGGGGTCCCAGGGAAAACTTCTGGGCCCAAGGCTCTTAGGGGTTATCTCTTCCCGACGTATAGAGCTCAGTGGAATTAAGTTAAAATAATCACCTAGGGTAGGCTTAGAAGGGGAAAAGAAGAAATAAGGTGGCACCAAACCTTCCAAAATCTCTGCAGGACAGGACACCACTGTGGTCATGGAATGCAAAAGCTTTGGAGTTCAGGTAAACCAGTGTCCCTGCTCCCAAATCTGCTACATTCTAGCTCTATGGCCTTGGCCCATTTACTCAACTTTTTTGAGCCTCATGTCTTAAAAGGGATTAAAAATAATACCTGTTGGGGTGGGAGGATGTGTTAGCCTGGTGATGAGTATTAAAGAGGGCACGTCTTGAATGGAGCACTGGGTGTTATACGCAAACGGTGAATCATGGAGCACTACATCAAAAACTAATGATGTCATGTATGGGGATTAACACAACATAATAAAAAAAAAGAAAAAAGAACACCTGTTAATGGGGCCATGGGGAATGACTTAGTGATGTATGTGCTTTGCACAGTGACTGGTATACAATGAGCGCTCAATACATGGTAATATGATGATATGATGATGATGATGATGATCAGTATATTCAAGGGATAGAGCAGTTCTGCCCCAATTTTCTTGGTAATAAAAGAGGCCATTAGGGGCGCCTGGGTGGCTCAGTCGTTAAGCGTCTGCCTTCGGCTCGGGTCATGATCCCAGGGTCCTGGGATCGAGCCCCGCATCGGGCTCCCTGCTCGGCGGGAAGCCTGCTTCTCCCTCTCCCACTCCCCCTGCTTGTGTTCCCGCTCTCACTGTCTCTCTCTGTCAGATAAATAAATAAACTCTTTAAAAAAAAAAAAAGAGGCCACGAAAATATTTTTGTATGTATGTTTGCCTATGGGCCTCAAATTTCCTTAAGAACTATGAGATCGCGCCGTCTCCTGCTTCTCGCCACACCTGCTCCCCGGAGTGTGGGTCTGCCTTCCCCCAGGAGCAGCATGGGGCTGGAGCATGGGGCTGCCTCGCTCTTTATCTCAGGAATGGCTGCATTGCCTGCTTTACTCACTGCTGTGTCCCCCAGCCCAGGGCAGGCACTCATTACATTTTATTGAGTGAAAGCTGTTGGATTAATGACTTCCAAGGTACAAGGACGGCGCTGGCAGTCAGTGCCCGGCTTCTGCCAGGTTTTCGCAGCCCCTCTGCTTCATTGCCTTGGGACTCAAACCAGCACTCGTGCTCCTGGCTGTAGAAAGAACCTCGGTTGAGGTGGAAATGGGGTTTCGTTTCAACGAATGATTATTTGATGATTTTATAATTATTTTAGATGATTAGTTTGACTTTAAAACAAACAAAGCTGGTGGGGTCAGAACTGTCCTTTGCGGGATGGATGTGACTCTGGACATGACGCAAGTGGTCTGCTGTCTATGTCGTCCATGATCCAAGCTGGGAATAATTAAGTAAAATTGCCCTGGGCACAAAAGAGTATAAACTTAAACCTGAGCTAATTTGCCAAATATAAACTCATTGCTTAGAGAGGCAGCAGGCCCTAATGCGGGTACAAGCCACTGGGTAATGAGAGAAAGTCCTAGACTGGAGCCACATTCTGGCAGAGTCAGAATGTAATCATCCAATCACCAGCCCGGGGCGGCGGACCCGACATAGCTGCAGCCCCCCGAATGTAAACAGAACCTTCTGCATGTCTACATGTATCTCTCCAGGAAGAAAATACAAAGTTTTCATATATTTTTTTCTCTCCTACGTTTCCCTTTGATTGTTTTTCTGTGAAGGATCTGGCTTGGGTGGGGCCCAGGAGGGCAGGCCTCGAACGGGGATCTGGGAGGGGTCTGAAAGCAAAGGGAAATCCACAAAGGGCAGCAGGTTGGTTTAGGAGTTCGCAAAGATGCTTGATCATTGTTACTGGTTTTCAAATACAAAAATACTTAGGATGGGAATCATGTTGTTAGCAACACAATTTAAAAGGCATTTATTGGGCGTCTGGGTGGTTCAGCTGGTTGGGCGACTGCCTTTGGCTCAGGTCATGATCCTGGAGGCCCGGGATCGAGTCCCACATCGGGTTCCCTGCTCAGCGGGGAGTCTGCTTCTCCCTCTCCCCCTCTTGTACTCTCTCTCTCTCTCTCAAATAAATAGATGGAATCTTAAAAAAAAAAAAAAGGCATCTATTTTGTGGCTGTCTCTACAGAAAATCTATACAATATGCACAACGGTAGAACTCATATACAATTTACAGAACTCCGATTTACAGCTGGGGCAACAGGGTGCAGAGAGAGAGACATGGAGAAGCAGAATGTGTGTGTGTAAAGGGATATGGCCACACCAGCTACTCCCACATGTGCAAGAAAGGATGGACACAGGACGCTAGGTTCAAGTTCCGGCTCTGCTTCCAGCTACCTGTGACCTTGAACAAGGCATTTGACTTTCCAGGGTCTCTGGTTCCTTCTCCAGGAAGCCAGAGGGCATGCTCTCCAAGGTCCCTGCTCATCAGTAATTCTCCCATCCTAATTTCCTTCTGACCTTGCATCCAGGTCAGAGCTGCCAGCATGCTTGAGGAAGTGGGGAGGCTGTAGGGAGGCTTCTTGGAACAACTATTGTACTTAATATATTTGTGCTTCTTCAACTTCCCAAGGGGGCAGACATCAAAGAAAATAAATCGGCCTTTGACTTTTATCTTAGACTTATTTCGTTTAAAAAAGGAGAAGAAAAATAAAATTAAAAAGGTTTGTCTTAGTAATCAAAAAAAATCCTCCAGTAAGCTTTTGAATCTACTTAATATGGAACACAGACATCTTTGGAGAGGAAAAGTTTTGGTTAACATCAGCAGAAATGGGATGGAGATGAATGTGTTGTTGCAGGGCTTGGGAACAAAACCAAGAGAAAACAAGACCCAGCTATGAGGGCTGAATTGCTGATGGTACCCACCCAGTCCCCTCCAGGCAAGTGAGGTCAGTAAACACCTCCAGTTTTCAAGAGGCCTGGACATTTTAAAAAAGATTTTATTTATTTATTTGAGAGAGAGAGGAAATGCATGAGTGGAGGGAGGGCAAACTGAGAAGCAGACTCCCCACTGAGCGGGGAGCCCTGACCATGTAGGGCTGGATCCAAGGCTCAATCCAAGGACCCTGGGATCATGACCTGAGCCAAAGGCAGACGCTCAACCTACAGAGCCACCCAGGTTCCTGAGGCCTGGACATTTTTACTGAGCAGCAATAGGACATAGCAGAAGGCTGGGTACAACAGCAGGTGACTTCATACAAGGATCCTGTTCCTGAAGAAGCATGTGCAGACCGAAGTTTTGTGACCCGGATCCTATTCTAATTGCAATCTCGTGGGAAATCTAAGTGAAAAGCCCCTTAGTAAAGCAAATGACCATTACCCATTTTCCCATTTCAGATCATTGTTTTCCCAGGTCAGAATGGCTCTGGGCACCTGTCGGGGCCTGAGCAGTCACAGGCTGGTTAGACCAAGTACGTCAGTGGACTTCGGCCCAGTGGGCACCGCCTGGGACACTCACCACGGCGTCGCTGTCATATAGTTCCACCACCACCGAAGGCGGGGACTCCACCAGCTCTTTCTGGTCTCCATGCAGCACCAGGTCATTGAATAACAGCATCTGGTTCCAGGTGGGGGAGAGGGTCTGGGAAATGACCTGGAAGGTGGGGCCAAAAGAAAAGCAAAAGATCATTTGGTAGGGCTGGAAGGGGAGGGATGCCTTCATTCCACAGTTCGTGGTGGAGGGCAGAGAGAACCATCCTCGTCATTCTCGTTCAGTCACTTAACATCCAAGCCACAACATAGACCAATGTACTGCCACCGTGTGCTAGATGCGAGCGGATGCAGATCCCTGGTCCCGGAGAGCTTACAGAAGTTCATGAGTAGGGCCCCTGCAATGATGAACACCGTGTTGGCACCCATAATTTCAACTCAAGCCTCCCGGTCGTGCTGTGCTGGTAACACGAGCTACCCTCGGTTGAGCATTATGTGCCAGTTGTTACACTTCAGATGCGCAGTCTCATTCAAACTTGACAACCACTCTGGGAGGTGGATGGTTATCTGCTCACATTTTACGGATCAGGAAACCAGGGCTCACTTTGTCTGGAGCCGGCAAGTGGCAGAACTGGGATTCACTCCTCTGGCGCCAAAGCCCAGCCTGCTAACCTCATCCACCCTCACCACGTCGATGCTAACATTATCTCCATTTTATGGAAGGGTACTTCGTGGATGAGGAAGATCTAGTGATGCTTCGCTTATGAGCAGATAAAATTTTGTCATTAAATACTCAAAAGTGGGGTTTAACTCTAATATTCCTTTTTTGGAATTCCACTGTTCTGGGGATATTTATTTGACTTGTGTTGAACTAACCAAAGTCTTCAAAATAACCTTCACCGTTTTGCATGGCATCTTTTTTCTGAGATAGCAAAATGTGACATAGGTCATTGGCTGTGTCCATCCTACAGATGGAGAGACCAAAGAACAGAGGACAACAGTCTGCATTACTGCTTTAGAACCATGAGTGTCTCACCTGAAGTTGGCTCACAGACCCCCTGCCAGGCCATTCACCTGCTACCCTCAGAAGCCGGTGTGTCGTTGGTCTTTGCCTCTCCTACTCTAGTTTAATTGGATGTTTGGACACCTGCCAGTTTCACCGAGCTGAAGACTGGGGTTGTCTGCAGGACAGGTGGACTCTGTTCCTGGGCAGAAACTGTTCTGTTAATGTGCGAGGCTGGTCCTGGAAAGAGGCCACGGTGTCACATCTCCCTCTCTCCCAGGCTGATGGGTGATGTCACAGGTGGACACAGAACCAAGGCTGCTGGGTCCTGGGGAATTTCCACACCCTCTCTGAGCTATACCTTTACTTCTCACTATGCATGCCAGAGGGGTCCCAGGGGGATCCAGCCTGGATTAACTTCCCAGACTCCAAAGAACAAATCAAACTGGCATCTCAGAGTTCTACATGAGGAGGCATCTCTAGTCAGGACATTAAACCATTGGCACTGTGGTCAGGAGAGAATTTTTTACTGTTCTTCTTTATGGGAGTCGTAAAAATACCATGCATTCCACCATTTCCTTCCCTTCTCACTTTTTGCTTTTAGAGTATTTTAAGCTTCAGACACAGTGATGTTTTTGACATAAATCTCAGAAAAAAATCTTAACTTTTTGGACAAGGGAAGAATGGCTTCAACCAATCCACGAACAGGAGTTACGTCGTTGCAATGAAAAGTTACCCCATGTGGGTGTATGACATCACAAAGAAACATGAGCTTTTGTGTTGCTTTTTTAAAAATAGAAATGTGAACTCTTTCGCAGTATGCACACAAAAATGTGATACCAAAGCTATTTATGATCCTCACAGCATCTTTCCTATAGAAATATTTTGATGGCTTCCTTGGCACTTGTGGTTACCACTTGATAAGATTTCAGAGGCCAGCATTCGTTCACTCAACATATACTTCTTAGCACATTCAATACCCAGTGTGCTAGGCTCAGTATTGGGCACCAACATGGCATCTTGCGCACAGCAGGTGCTCAATCGTAATCTGCGTGAATAAATGAATGGATAGTGGCCTGTCCTCAGAGTTGTTCCCATGAGTATAAGGGCCATGTGGCCACCTTCAAGAGGTACTGAAAGGCTCACCCAAACAAAAATATATTCTCCCACTTCTCCGCCAAGGTGCCCGTGACTAGCTTCTCTCCTTCAGGGCTTCCTTAAGGAGTTAGGCATTATGACTGTGTTTGATGCCATCTGGGAGATTTTGGTAGCACTTAGCTGACATTTTGAAGAAGGAGTGAGGTACTATGGATGGAGCATGGCTTTTGAGTCAGATATCCCTGGAATAGAACCCAAGTTCTATCGACTGCCTCAACTTGGGCAGGTGGTTTAACCCCTGTGAACCATCATTCCCCTGATGTAACTGGGGTTAGTGCTGACCTTGTAGAATTGTGATGGCCATTGTCTGAGATAAAGCGTGTTAAGTGCCTGGCACGCAGTAGGTGCTCAGTAAGTGCTTGTTGCCCACCCAACTCCATCCTGCCAAGCTATTTATGAATGAGTAAGCAGTTACTGAACACCTACCACGTGCCAGTCTTGGTGGACTGGGCACTGGTGTCTAGCAAGAGACCGTCTGAGTCCTCGGGACTCTGACTGCTCGAAATCTCAGGTTCCGCACTGCCCCCCTCTCCGCGATGTCCTCTCCTCTCCTCTAAAGCTCCTCTCCGCCACTTAGTCCCTCTCCCCTACTGTCTTCAAAGCCTTTCTCTTTGGGGTGCTGTCTCCCTTTCCCTTTATCCTTTGACCACTATAAGAATTCTAAGTCCCACATCATCAGTGACCTCTGGAACAACAGGGTTCCCCTTCTGATATCTTTCAGATCATGACATCACTTTAGAGAGGACTGGCTGCAGGACCAGCCCTGCTGAGACTGCTCTCGCTGAGCTCCATAGGGTCAGTTCAGGCATGTGCTACCAGGTGAATGGTGGAGCGTGGATAGGATTGCAGGGGCCCCAGGCTCAGCTTTCCCCATCAAGAAGCGTACAAGAGTGGGGCGTGACACTGAAACAGCAGAGGGAAACCAGAACCTTTGCTTACCAAAACGGAAACCAGAGTGGTTAAGCGAAGTGGGTTTGGAAATGGCCAATGTGGGTTTCCATTTTGGCTCTGCCACCTTCTACCTATATGGTCCCTAAGCCTTACCTTCTCATCTGCAGAACGGGGACACTAGTAACATCCACCTTTAGGCTGTAGTGAGATGTAGTAAACAAAGCATATAAAATGCTTAGCATGATGCCTGGCAAAAAAGGAGCTTTTAATAAATGGCAGCTATTATTACTAACAAAAACTAGGTACTTGGTTCAAAACTATGGAGGCAAAGTCCAGGGCTCAACAGGAGCTGTTTTCCCTTTCAAATGATTATCTGATAAATGCCATTTGCTCCTTTGAGATATGAGTCCAAATCAAATGAAGGTAGTAGATAGGGATGCAAAATAGGAAGATAATCACAGCCCAGTGGGCTCACTCAAACCTCTTCCCCATCCAGGGCCCTGAGATCACCAGGGCCTGGAATTTCATGGTTTTGTGGCAGGTGGAGGAAGGCCCCAGGGGTCCACCCTTTGAGAATCATCCTTACTTCTGGTGGGAAGCCTCAATGACAATAATAAGGAGTCACATAGAAACTGTTAGAAGCAAGGCACTGTCCTGGGTGGTTTATCTTCTGGGAAGTGCATACAGGGTCATCATCGTGAGGGCTTTGCTTCAAGAGCTTGGATCTGAACCCAAACAATGTGGCTCCAGCGTCTATACTCTTATTAATCACTGAGCTATGTACTACCTCTCAAAACACAGGGAAGAGAAAGTAGTCGGAAGTCTTCATGCATCATGGGTTTTCATGCTCCTTCACTAAGTGAGGATGCAGTCACCTTCCTTCCAAGGTCTTTCTCGCCTCCCCCCTCAGACGGGACTAACCTCTCTCCCCACGGCTCTTGGAAGACTTTGTCTAGCCCCGCACTATGGGGTTTTCCATGGTGCAGCCCCTGAGCCCAGCATGGGACCTGTCACAGAGCAAGCACTCGGCAGGTGCTGGAGAAATGGACAAGATGATGATTCACATTATGATCCAGGTCTGCGTTTCACAAATCAAACTCGATCTCCCTGGTCACAGGCCTCACTTTGGAGAGACATGTCAGCCCGTGTACTATCAGCCAATGTAGCGGACACCATTCATCAATCACTTTATCCGCTTAACTCTGTGCTTCTTCATAGCAGCCCTATTTTTAGATGACAGATGGAGTTTTAGTGAGTAAACTCGGCCAGAAAGTAGATGAGCTACTCAGGTCTCGTTGGGTCCTCCGTGTTTGTCTTAACTCCCGGAGATGGGTGAATCCCTTGTGAACTCTCTCTCAGAACACTGAATCTTCAGAGAACAGAGTCAATCCTCGGATATTACGATCTAATGGGAAAAGTGTCCTATTGGATGCCCGCTGATTTGAGACCCTTCCTCTTTTCAGCACTCAGTGTCTAGGAAAGCAGGAGAGCCCAGAGGAAACCAGTGTAGACCCACCTGCTTTAATCCTCACAACATCCACTAGGAAGTAGTATTTTCCAGAGCTCTGGAAGGGAAGCCCTTCCCCCAACTTGTAAGTAGAAAGCATTGGTGCAAAGTCTAGGGCTTCCTGACCACAAAGCTGGAAAACGTTCCTCCCCACTGACACCCCTCACAAAGGTTAGATCATGAGCCTCACACAGCCATGCCTGTGTGCTGTTTTCTCGTGTGTTTGTTCCCCACCCAAGTTGGCCTTGTGCCCAGCGCTTTGGCAGTCACTCCAGATGTGCCAGATTTCACTTCTCCTCCTCATCCCTCTTTCCTCACACCCCTCCTTCACCTTGGGGACTTGCTCTCTTGGCTGCGGGACCATGGGTCACCTTGGAACAAGAGAGCTGCCCCGTGTCAATCTTTCCTTGCACACGTGCTTTGAAGTCTGAACACCTGCATCTCCAGAGACACGGGTATTTGCAACAAGCCCCTGTTTTTTCCTGTGCTGGGTTCTGCTGCACATCAGTCATGGGCTGCAGGAAGAAGGCAGGCGGGCTTCCCTGGTTACCTTTGTGGTCTGGCAGTGAGAAAGGAACGTGACCTTGGCAAAGGGGTCTGAGAGTCCACTGCTATCGGCTGCAATGAGGCCCCGGGCTTGGTACATGTGTGCTCTCAGCTGAAAGACATGCCGGGCTGTGGACAAAGAGTGGAAAGGGACAGGCATCAGTGGGCTTTTCCCAGCAGGGAGTGGCAAGAGGTGTCTGTGTGTCTTGTGCATCTGTGGCTGTCTGGAGGCAAAGACGAGGAGAATCGCCAGCCTCTGAGACTGAAGGGGAAGCAGTTAAGAAGATGGGGGGATACTTTGGAGCCATGCATTCTCCTTGGCACCCTTACCACACCGTGGGTTTTAATCTTCATAACAACCCTGTGATTATAGATATAATTATCCCATATATGTATGAGGCAAATGGCTACAGAAGTCTCCCAAGTTTGCAGAGCTATCAAATGCCAGACCCTGGATTTTTACTCCTGTCAGATTCCCAACTCACCTTCTCTTTCCAAAATACCACATTTTATGTTTTTGTAATTTTCCTTGTTTCCACTGGCACATACACTCACGTGCGTGTGTGTGTGTGTGTGTGTGTGTGTGTGTAAGAAAGGGGCTGCCCCACTAATAGCTTTTGCTTCGGTAAGCTCTTGAGTCAGCCACTCAGCCATTCTTCCATTCAGCCAGCCAGTGTCACCTTGAGTGCCTACCATGTACCAGGTAGTCTGGTCTAAGGATTCTGAAGTGGCTAGGACAGCCTCTGCCCTTTGGGAACTCCAGGGAGGGGGCAGAAGATAAGACAAGCACCTGCACCCCAGTGACAGGAGGCCAGGGACCAGCAGCCTGTGAGAAATACAGGCAGAGGACATGGACGTGAAAGGCAGGGGGGAGCACATCTGTTGACAGGACGGGAGCAGAGAGAGGGCTGCAGGTGAGGGCAAACCAGGGTTCAGTGGGGGGGGAGATCCCAAGTAAGAGGTGACTTACATATTCCTGGGCTCGTGGGACTTTGTAAGGCCCCTCTTATTTTTTATGTCCGCTTGCTCCTCTTTATCCCTTTCCCCATTCCTGTTCCCTGTCTCCCCCAGAGGCTACACTACACCGCATTCAGGGTACCCGTGTTTTGCACTGATGTGTGGACTGGTAGACAGGAACTGTCACATACCAATTTGACTAGCTCTACTCAGTTCAATTAAGGGTGCAGATACTGCCCCCCCGGCCCCTGCCATGCCACTCCTAGGCTTAGGTCACACAGGTCTCTACGTGGACTCATACAAAGTCACTACCCCTCTCTGTGCCTTTGTTTACTTGCCTATAAAATGGGGGTAATAATAGTTCTTCATGGAGTTGACGTAGGAGATCTAAGGCCTAAGAATGGTGCCTGACACATGGGAAGAAGTGGTGTGAAAATGCTGGTGTGGCTATTACTACTGCTCGTTGTAATGTGACCTGTGATGGTGGCAGCTGGGGGCCACCTGGGCATCCCTTAGAGCCCCTAACTACGGCCGTGTAGGCAGTACACCACACAACTCTAGGGGGCGCCATTTACTTAGTCAAGGTTTTTCTTTTTCTGAAACCCCTTAGCAGCTCCGTCCCTAGACTAATAAAGTCAGCTTCCTCTTCGCTCTCACAATTTGGTGGCCCACCTCTTGTGCTAAAGATCCCTTTCCACTTGTGGTTAGTAGAGACAAGTCTGATTGCCCCCACTGGAGAGCCAGATGACCCCTCTCTCATCTCTGCATCCCCCACTAGTTTTCCCACCATGCCTGCCATATGTAGGTGCAAATTCATTACTGGTTGGATGGATATTTTCTGAAGCACAAAATGGGTGAAGAAACCAAATTTTCCAGTGGGTGTGGAAGGCAGCCAAAGCCATCAAAGTCAGTGCATAGCCGAGAGAGTTTATTAGGTCACTCCACGAAAATAACACACTGCAGAGGATCAGAAAGCTTTGGGAAAAAGTCTTCCCTCTCCTTTGAATTGTTAGTAGCTGGGCCAGCAAATATGTCCAGGTATCTCAGATCTCTAGAGATAGTATCTACAGAAATAACAAGATAACTCGATGTGGGTGTCTTTCACTCAAAGATGAAAACTCTTTAAAGGCAGGATGGAAAGCTGGGAAAATAAAGCAGTGTTTGGAGAAGTTGACTTCAGCGTTCACTAGCTATGGGATCTTGGGAAATTTCTAAGCATTTCTGATACATCCTTTCTCCCTCTGTAAAATGAAGAAACTACCCGGGGCTGATGTGACAATATAAATACAATCTAATGTTTAAAGTAGAGGGCACCATGCTTGGCTCCTGGTAGGGGCTATGCATTTTCCAAAAAGACAGGGCTGAACTTTCCTCGCTCTTGTGCATTACCACTGGGCACAGCAACCATGAGCTGAACCACTGGATAAATATCCCCAGAACCTTGTCTTCTCTAACTATTGAGCCACTTAGATTCCACTGGTAGTCAAGGTCAACCCACATCAGAGGAGCGTTGTGTAACACAGAAAACCTGGATTTGTGGACAGTTCTCCTGTGCTTCTAACACTGGCTCAGTGCAAAACTTATCTTCAGCTGAAACGAAGGTAAAACTGCAGTCTGTCTGAATTCGGCAGCGAAGATCCTGCAAATTGAAGCCATTTGGAAACAGAATGCAAATTGCAACCGTAAGCCATTAATATTTTTAATAAAATCCTAAATTATATGAAAATGTCAATAATGGCACTCAGAGAAAATATCTATATAGAAGAGAGGATTACATAATGCATGCTGAATTCCTAAAAGCGACCATGTCAAGAACCAAGCTGAGGAAACACAAGTGACCCCAACGATACCCAGTTCCCACTGGGTCGTTACTGGTAAATGTAAATGCCTGCCATGTACAGGTCAAAACCCTAGCGCCACATGTCATATCAGAGCAAGAACTTACTGATGTGTTTTTAAAAAGCATCTTCTGCTTCTAATGCAAACTCAGTCTATATAATCTGCCTACAAAGAAACTCAAACCGCATCCTCTCCATTGGCAGAAAAATATAAACCTTTACTCCAAATGTATTTAACAATTTCACTTTGTTTTGTTGAGATGGGACATTGGAAAGTAAGGAAGAAAATTTAGAAAACTATATGTATTTTTTTAAAGATTTTATGTATTTATTTGACAGAGAGAGAGAGACAGCAAGAGAGGGAACACAAGCAGGGGGACTGGGAGAGGGAGAAGCAGGCTTCCCACTGAACAGGAGCCCGATGCGGGGCTCAATCCCAGGACCCTGGGATCATGACCTGAGCCAAAGGCAGACGCTTAATGACTGAGCCACCCAGGCGCCCCAAGAAACTATATTTTTAAAAGGCTTATAAGTTGATCCTAAAATAATGTACAAACAACTCATGCATGCCACCCTCCTCACTGTTTTATCAGACGTCCACTGGAGACACCTAATGACCCTCTTTGCCCAGTGGGCCTCATACCTTGGTAGAGCAGGTTGGCTGGGGGTTGATCGGCGCAGGCCACTTTGGAGGACATTTCTGCTTCATAGCCTACTGGCAAGTTGTCCAACATGGCACTGGAGTGTCTGGTGGAGCCCAGCCACAGGTACACGTCAACTTTCGCTTGCACTGACCAACCAGCCGGCTGTTTTCCAGGAAGCTGGGGAAAGGTTACAAGGAAGACCACTTCATTAGTAGGAGCTTCACTCTTTGAGAAAAGAGGTCCTCTGCGGATCTGGGGACACATCCAGGGCAGGTATTCGGAGGACAGCTCTCAGGACCTAATCTTATATCAAAATGAGACTAACGACCCCCCACTTGCCACCATGCACCATTCCAGAGGAGTATCCAGGTTTAGCGGGGCCTGAAGCTTAAATAGGCAATTCTGAGCCCTGGATCATTTAAATCTAATGGAAAGGTTTGATTATTGCCCCTGTTTTATGTAGAGGAAACTCAGGCTCAGAGGGGTTAAAGAAGTTCCCTAAGATCACTCAGCTTTCAGGTGACAGAGCCAGCACCAAAACCCAGGGGAGATAGTTGCAGAGCTAGATGCCGGTCTCTGTACCCCCACAGCCTGCCTCTTCCCACACTGAGTTGAAACCTCCCTTTCCAGAACTGCCAAGCACCTGGAAGTCCAACCACAGCTCCCACCTCTTTGCTTCATTCAGAAGGACTCAAGTGCTTCTTCCATAGATCAGGCCTCCATGTGCTTGAAGGGACCCACCTGCTCTACTGAGCCCTTCCGTCCTGGCTAACCATCTCTAGTCCCTTCATCCCTTCCTCACGCAGCATGGTTTCAAATTCCCTTTCTACCCTGCATTCTCTCCTTTGATTTTTTGGTTTTGTTTTCTTTACAGATTTTATTTATTTATTTGAGAGAGAGAGAGAAAGTGTGTGTGAGAGAGAGAGAGAGAGCACAAGCAGGGGGAGCTGCAGGGCAGAGGGAGAAGCAGGCTCCCCGCTGAGCAGGGAGCCCAATGCGGGGCTCGATCCCAGGACCCCAGGATCATGACCTGAGCTGAAGACAGACGCTTAATGACTGAGCCACCCAGGCACCCCCCATTCTCTCCTTTGAATGTATTTGGATTTGGATTTCTATTTATGTTTGTTAGAATCGGTGTGTTTATGTATGTCTTAGTGTAAGTGGTATGAGTGTGTGCATATACAGATGCATGCGTTCTCAAGATACGGAGGATATAACTCAATGCAGTGTGGCTTCTTTATTTCTTAGTCACCAGGATTAGAGGACTCCTTCCCCCCAGCTAAGGAATCCCAAACCCCAGACTTGGCTGTGTTCAGGATTGCTGGCAAGACCTTCATTCTGAGAATAGTTACCTCTCCAGAATTTGTTGACGCGGCTAAGTGTCTCTTAGTGTTTCTACGGATTTCCCGTCAATATTTTCCCCTTCCTTCCACACCCCTTCTTTTCCAGAGAGAATCACAAAATCCTACATGAGAGGCTACAGCTTGCTCTGACGGTTCCCAAGGCACCCGTGGAGAGCATCTAAATCCAAAATTGAGCATGGTTATTTACCTTTCTATCTTGCACTGTGGGTCCTTTAAATGGATTTTCAGCCACTCAGTTCAGCACCTGCCTGAAGTGCCATTAGGCCTTACTGAGGCAGTGGGGTCAGGAGGGCATTACCCCCTTCATTAGCTCACATCTAGACAAGGAGGCTGACTTTAATTCATTTATTCAAGTGCAAAGTCAAGGGTAAGAGAGAAAAGGCTAAGGGAGCAGAGAAGTAGTAGCAGGGGTTTCCATCTTTTCTTTATGAGTCAAATATTTCGCTGGGCTTTAAATGGGCGCTTCAAGAGTTGGACCAGTGGAGAAGGCATCCCAGGAAGAGGGAAGGCTTGAACGGAGGCACAGGGGCAGGAACTAACAGTGCTAACAGAGACTCACACTGAGTGAGTGCTTATTCCGTGCCACGAAGGGATTTGCCAAAAGCTTTCAGAGAAGAAAGAGAATGACACAGACAAGGATGAGGAATCCTGCTCATTATGTGGACAAGAGATGGTAATTCACACATACTGTGCTGAACTTGGTCAGCAGGTACTAGAAAGAGAGGATGTGCTTGCCTTGTAGAGGTTTCAGTCTGTGGCGGGACCCAGCCACCACTTTGTGCTGCATCCTAGGGAAAGCTGGATTGAAAGTTGGGGTCCAGAGAAGTGACTGGACTCAAGAGGAGGGGCTCCCTGGAGTCCAGCTGGGGTGGACTCACAGGGAGCTGAGTGGGAGACTTCACAGGAGCGGAGAGAAATGAAGGTGGAGTACCACCTCCCCGCTGGGCTCTGAGTGCATCCAGCTCCTTCCACACATACTTTCCTTTTGGTCATGAATGTCCTTTCCCACCCTATGGCCACTAAGGATATGGTGGGGATGAGACCCAAGCAGGAGAGCTCTGTTCTTTTGGAGGGTGGATTGGGCTGAGCTCAGCAAATTTTGTTCCAGCGATTCCTTCCTGTTCACTCTAGCATTATGAGTATACTAAAATTAGAAAACAAGAAAGATCATGGAACCAGGGACCATGATTTACTATTACAATTTACTATTTATTTGGCCATGTGGCTTCAGATGAGGCACTTTGATTTCCTCTAGATTAATATTCCCCAAACCGGGCCCCTAGTAAAAGGAGTTTCCTAACATTTGTAAATAACTATTCTAGATGAATAACGTTGGCAAGCGTGGTTTGTAAAGGTTGGAGATGTTTCCCGACTGCAGAACTTCTGGGAGCCCTCTACTGGCTAATGGGCACCTTGAGACCCTGCGGGAGGGGGCACCTGCAACCTCCCAGATGGGTTTGAACATGGAAGCTCACGGGGCCACTGAAAGCCCAGCTGTCTCACAGCATAAACTTTGAGGAAACTCCAGCCTGGAGATTTGGGAGGTTTGCATTCTCTGCTCTGTCTTCCTGCACTTTTAATTTTCAGCTAAGAAACCAGAGCGAGTGGTAGGTGGGTGAACATTTTGTCTCCCTGGTGCCACTCCTGCTTTTTTCAGACTCACCATTTCGGTGAAGGGAAAGGGACATAAAGAGAGGTGGAGAGAGGGAAGGAAAAGCAAGGGTAACAATCAAAACTGGACTGAAAACAGTTTTGCTGAATCATCTTATCAAGATGTTTCATCAAGTCAGTGCAATTGAATTCAACAAAATTTAAAAAGCTATCACCCAAAGTAATCCTGATGGCAAAAGGAAAATACAGACAGACATAAGCCAAGGCCAGGGGCAGAGGTCCTGAATTCTCAGTTATGTCCGTCCTCGGGCTTCACGTTACAGCTGTTCTTTGTTCTAATTTTAAATAAAGTCAGCATACATCCAAATATTTAGCAGAGAGGAACTTTACACTGAGTTTCTAGTATTTTTAGTGCAGAGCCTTCTGAAATGATTTGCTATTTTTAAGACAAATATTTCTCGTGACCCCAGAATTCCTTGGATGGAGAAAGCTGAAGAGAAACCCTGACATTTGTGGTAAATAGCTAGAGGGAATTTTTTTCCTTTTTTTTCTTTTCAGTTACAGCTTTACAGGGATCAGTTTAAGAATCACATTACACACATGGTGGAAAACAACAGACAGAGTCACAGACACTTCACCGGATATGAAGGGGCACACAATTCCAGAAATGGCCGCTAGATGTTGGATGCCCATTTGTTTGAATACCAATATTTATTGAGTGATTACTCTGGATGATGTCCACTCTGTTTGCTTTATGGGCAGTTACGCACTTAACCCTCAGCATCATCTCCATTTGATGGAGGAAGAATAGGAAACACAGAGATGTTAAGTAACTTGCCCAAGGTCACACAGCTTGTAAATATTAGTCCCAGAATTCTGTAATAGGTTAAACTGTGTTCCCCTAAAATTCATACATTGAAGTCCTAACCCCCAGTACCTTAGAATATGACCTTGTTTGGAAATAGGGTCATGGCAGATACAGTTAACATGAAGTCAAACTGGAGTATGGTTCTTACAAAAAGGACTTCATGTGAAGAGACACACCCTAGGGAGAACACAGTGTAGAGTTTGGAGTTATGCTCCCACAAGCCAAGGAACTACCAGAAGCTAGAACAGGTGCTTCCCTAGCACCTTCGAGAGAGAATGGCTCTGCCAATACCTTAATCTCAGAATTATAAGATAATACATTTCTGTTGTTTAAGCCACTTGGTGGTCCTTTGTTATAGCAGCCCTGATAAACCAATACAAATTCCCACCCAGATTCACCTCGTTTCAAAGCCCAAGCATTAAACCAATATCCCCTACTGCCTCTTCTGTGTCCAACATTTAGCGATCACATCTAATGTAGACTCTAATATTTGGATGGCACTTAGAGGCTATCTAATCTAGCTGCCCACTGCCATATTTATATCAAGGGGACAGAGAACAAATATGGACCTCCATATAGGGAGCTATTTCCCTGTCATAGCTATCATGGAGCCTGGTTCTATCCTCTGGAAACACACACACACACACACACACACACACATACACACTCATCATCCATGTGTTAGCCCTACAAACACTTAAAATCTCTATCATGCTGTCAAGGCTTCTCAGTTAAGCATTGTTATCTCTTCACCCATTCTTCATATGGCATGGTTAATGCGGCTTCTCACCGCCCCCCACCCTGAGGCAGTAGAACATAATTATGTTACAGCAAGAAATCAGAACTACAGTTGCCAGGAAAGTCGACAATGAGTTGGGAAGAGTTAATCAGTCAAATTACACTTTCTTGTCAGGTACTGGTGAGTGGTGAGCTTCTGGACCACTCCTTCTCCAGATTTGCTCGAGTCTACTTCTGAGATACAAATTTGTAGTAGAGGTAAAATACCCAGGGTCTCCAAGAAAGGCTCAAATTTTGATTTAGAGTCAGCAGCAGCATCCATCTGGAGATTGTATCTATGACTGTCCACTCGTGAGGCATTAGGGGAGGCATCAGGTGACCTGTCCTCATGAAGGGTCCATGGACCCAAGATGAAATCTCACAGTTGAAGGCCACCAGGGAATCCTAAGCTACCAGTTCTGTGAAATACAAACCTTTTCTCTTGTAATTTATTTTTAAAATATGGATGAACTCACATGAAAAAGTGCCATGAACAAATTACACAAGAGAAAAGGTAGAGAGAAAACTAATAGAAAAATGTTTCTTTCTCCTAGTAACCAAAGAAATAAAAATTAAAGCAATCTTGAGGTACACCCCCTAGATTAAAAAAAAAAAAACCACCTTTATTATGTGTCTGTTGACATAGCAATTGGAAAACTGGAAAATATTCAGCCTCAGGATTCAAATCACAGTTTGAATCAAGAGGGGGCTAGGTGTTTCAGCTGTCTGTCCTCAGATCTTTGAAAGTTTTGGGGAAGAGTCAGAGATATGGACACATGCTGGAAGTGCTGAGAGACTCGGGAAAAACAGAGGTTTCCTATGTTGAGTCAAAAATAGTGCAGACTTACTTTGAGGAAATGAGTTTTGATCTTCCCACAGTGTTTGCCCATCTGCTCCCTGATGGGGGAATAGAGCAGGTCTTTGGAGGCAATGCGGACATATGCCACTTTCCTGTTGTTGCTAAGCATCCAGATGAAGACGTCGGGGATGGTGTGCTGTGGCTGTGGGAATGGAGGGGAATGGCTTTGGTGGGTTGGTGCTTAACAGGTACCCTTGCAGAGTTCTCCTATCCTGAAACAGTCCCCCTCTGTAAAACAAATTCTGTGACTTAAACCATCTAGCCACTTAAACATCTATGCAAGCAAGCAAGTTAAGTGTAGCTTCTTTGAGAAAACCTATGTCCTGACTTACAAGTACATGTAAACCCCATATGCCCAACTGTGCTCTTGTGCTTTAAGGATATGCAAGTTGGACCCATGATTTGGCATCTCTGGTGGTCTACTTATCTACGTCTAAGGAATAAAACATCTTCCCCTTTGTTTTTGCTTTTTTGTAATCATGTAATAACAATTCATCCTCAATCATTGGTCCCCCTAAAAGCCAGGTAACATTCCAGAATATTCAAATGAAAAAGCAAAAACAAAAATCCATGAATGTCTTTGAATGTCTTTCTATTTGCTCTTAAGGAAGGAAAAACAATTCTACAAGGGACTTTTGACCTAAAATATGGTTGCTAAGTATTTTAGCTCCATTTTAGGTGGTTTTTCAGGAGAAACTCGACTAAATTGCACATAAAATTTTACTTTAAAATTGAGCTAATCGAGATAGGAATTGCAGAATTCCCTGCCAAGGGGCCCATTATGTTGTGAGTGTTTGAAATGCACATTTCTGAGCCAAAGTAGCTACCAAATCAAAAGGGAGGTACACTGTCATAAACTATGCTTTGGCTTTCTTGGGCTCGGTGTTCTGTCTTTCCAACCCTATAATCCTCTGGTGTCATTTGTTCCCAAAGAGGGCATCCCCTCTCTCTTGATATGGAAACAGAAGTATCAGTAAGGAGGTTTTCCTAGCCAGAGGGTCAGTCAGTCACAGACCTGAAGTCCTGATGCTTGGTTTAAACCTTCTGGGTGCTTAATAAAATTCCTGCATTTACTAACCTAACTTCCTGTCTCACTGCTTATTTTGTCCCCAGGGAATGATAGATTTGCAACAAGAAATACAACTTTTGAGATTGACAGAAGGAGTAGGTCTGTACCTCTCCTTGAAATCTTCACTCACAAAACCTGGTATCTGACCAAAGCAAATATGAGGAGCTTTTTAGATCATTCTAGAAGTCACAAAAGATTTCAACTTTAAAATGAGATGCTGTTTTGACTTTTGCTGGATATGAGTTTAAACCCTCTTACAGTTGAAAACTTATCAAAGGTCCCATACTTCTTTTGACTTTTCTTGATTCCATTAAGGAACATGCTTTTTATTTCTGCTGAATACCCAGGCTTCATTTAAAAATCAATGAAGCTGTACATTTTTGGCTAAATATAAAAATCTCTGTTCTCACCCCTAAACTAATTGTGCCTGCTCAGCTCAGCAGGGCTTGGAAGAAAGCACTGGTCTCCATCTTGCATCCTCACCAAACATTCAGACCTCACTAGGAATACAATTGGTCTAATCTCCCAAAGGAAGTTTGCCTTTAGAGTTATTACCTCATCGACAAGGAAGCGGATTTTTTCCACAAAGTTTTCTGCTTCATGGATCATTTCATCAAGAGATAACTTTTTCTTCTGCTGCTGAATGATCCCCTTGGCCTCCCTGGCCATTGCTTCCTGAAACAAGACAAGAGTCAGTGTAGATCTTTCTAGATATCTGGACAACAAGTACTATCCTGTTGCTGGAGAATCCTGAAGGTGCTTGTAAGTTCCACACTGAGCCACTCATGAAGCTGGTTCAGGGCCTGCCAGTGTGCATGCTGCCCATTTAATAAAAATTTCATAGGCGTATGGAGGCAGCAAATGTCATCTCACCTTTGTTTGACAGAAGAGAAGTCAAGGCCCAGAGAAGTCAGAGGTCTGTCAAGGTCCCAAAACTCTATTAGCCAGGACCCAAATCCAGGCCCTCTCATACAAAAGTAACTAAAATGCATTGAGTTCTTACTCTGTGCCAGGCAACATTCTAGCTGTGGAATTAGTCCTCATTGCTCCTCACAGCAGCTTTACAGGGTGGGTACCATAGCCGAGGAGGGAGAGTAATGCTGGACAGAGAGGCCGAGCCAGAGCGGAGCCCCAGTGGAGTCCAGAACCCACGTCCTTCGTCACTGCTCTCACTACCTCTCCGAGAGGCTTGGGGGATGCTTCCAGACCAAACCAGCATTATTTGAGAAATGCTGCCAGGGAGCTCAGCCTGAGTGTTTGGAACATCCAAAACTGTTTATTTGAATTCATTCATTCAGCCACATTTTTGTGCTCAGGAAACCCCCAAACACTTTCCAGTGATTTCTGAGACACTGCCTAAGTGCGCCTGGCCTCTTCTCTGTTTCATCTTGTATTGCTTCATACGCTGGGCCCCCGGCACACGGGTCCTCAAGGGGGTCCAAAATACGCCACGCTCGGTCCATCCTCAAGACCAGTGTGGGGGGGCTTTCCTCTTGCTCAAACGTCCTTCTTGGACTCTGCATGGCTCATTTCTTCTGAAGCCTCAGCTTAAACATCACCACTGCCTCATGTCCCCCACGTTCTCCTGATCACCGTGGCCTTACAAAGTTTCCTTCATAATCATAACCTATAATCATTTTTGCTTATTTGTTGTTTACCTTTCTATCTTCTGTCTACTGCACTAAAATATAAACTTCCACTGGTCAGGGACCTCCTCTGGCTTGTTTTTGCTTTGTTCTTACTTATTCTCAGTGTCTGGCAGAGTTCCTGGCACATAGCAGGTGTTAAATAAATGTTTGTAGAGGGGCGCCTGGGTGGCTCAGTCGTTAAGCGTCTGCCTTCGGCTCAGGTCGTGATCCCAGGGTCGTGGGATCGAGCCCCACATCGGGCTCCCTGCACCGCGGGAAGCCTGCTTCTCCCTCTCCCACTCCCCCTGCTTGTGTTCCCTCTCTCGCTATGTCTCTCTCTGTCAAATAAATAAATAAAATCTTTAAAAAAATAAATAAATAAATGTTTGTAGAATGAATAAGCCAGTCAATCAATAAATTCCTCAGGGGCAGGTACCAAGTCCTTATAGCTTTGTGTTCCCAGCACCTAGCACAGGGCCTGGGCCATAGAAAGCCTTATGTTCGTGCTGACAGGGGGGACTGAATACCTGCTATGGACCAGGCACTATCCTAGGAGCCAAGGCCTAGGACAGGGGAAGAAAACACAGGCTTCCTCTTCCTGAGACTCTGACAGTTTGGTGTGCTGAAAGCAATATATGTGCAAAATATCAGGGGGCCAGAGAGAGACAGAGCTAGGTTTTATAGATGATATGACATTTGAGCTGAGTTTTAAACAATGAACAGAATTCATCAGGTGATGTCATATGGTTTCACTCACATGTGGAACATAAGGAATAGTGCAGAGGACACTACGGGTTGGGGGTGGAAACTGAATGGGAAGAAATCAGAGAGGGAGACAAACCATATGAGACTCTTGACTCCGGGAAACAAACTGAGGGTTGCAGAAAGGGAGGTGGGTGGGGGGATGGGGTAACTGGGTGATGGGCATTAAAGAGGGCATGTGATATGTTGAGCACTAGGTGATATACTCAACTAATCAATCATTGAACATTATATCAAAAACTAATGATGTACTATACCTTGGCTAATTGAGTTTGAAAAATAAAATAAAATAAATAAAATCTTAAAAAAGAAGAAGAGGAGGAGGAGGAAGAGGAAGAGGAAGAAGAAGAAGAAAGAAGAAAGAAGAAGAAGAAGAAGAAGAAGAAGAAGAAGAAGAAGAAGAAGAAGAAGAAGAAGAAGAAGAAAAAGGATAGTCCAGACAAAGGAACCAATTGCAGATGCAGGGTATGTAGGACTGACAGATGTCAGCGATTTTTGAAGCAATGGCAATTTAATCAGGTTTGTGTTTTAGAAAGACCATTCTGGTTGTGGTATGGAAGATGGGTTGAAGAAAGCCTACTGCAATAGACTGGGCTAAGGAAGTCAGTTTAGACAGCGATTCTGCAGATGAAGAGGTGGAGCATGTTCCAGAGTCTTTAAGGGGAGGAATCAATGGGCCTACAGTCGAATTGATTGTCGAGGGTTAGGAATAAAGATTCAAAGTTGAGTCCAGGCTTCTGGTTGAAGCAACAAGTGTAGCTGGTGGTGCTAATACAGAATGTGGGACAAGGTTAGATTGGAAGCTGATGGGTTTAATAGGATGGGTTGAGTTGGAGGTGCTTTGAGACAAGCAGGTGATGTGTCCCCTAGGAAGGTGGAAATAGAGGTCCAGAGATGAGGAGGGAGAGGTGGGCCACTACAAGATATCAAACTCATGGACTCGTTCAGGCCAAGGACTATTGGATGATAAGAAGAAAATAGAGCTCTGTCGGCAGTATGTGTAGAGGATGGACGTTGCAGAGACAGGAAAGAGCAGTCACAGGTGCTAAAGAAGAAATGGGGTAGGAGGAAGATCTTCTATATAGTGAAAATCTGGCCTCCCTTGGAGTCCAGAGGAGGAGTACACAAACCTTTGTTTATTATTCTGGAAAGAAAGGTAAACCAATTTAGAGACTTGGGTTTTAGTGTATAGACTACGATTAATTAGCTGTGACCTTTAAAAAATCATTTAATCTCTCTGGGACCCCCTCACATCTTATAAATGTCCCTGACCAGTCAAACACTGAGTAATTTTTCTTTACAGGATTATCGTGGCCTCGTTCAAAACGCCCCTTGGTACCACTGCTGGAACTGAAGTTTCAAGGTGAGATAATCCAGGGTCTGACTTGGTCTGGCATTTCTCAGCCATCACTCATGCGACAGGGACTGAGGATCTGTGAGGCATGCAGCATTACGGACATAGCGCTCCTGCCCTGTTGTCAAGAAGGCTTACAACTCTTCACATGATTCTTAATGGAAGGAAACCGAAGAGGGGAAGAACAGGTTTTTTGGGGGGGGTGGGAGGGGTTTCCTCCATTTGTGAGACAAAAGGTCAAGTCAAAGAGCCTTTGACAAAATACAGATGTCAAGGCAAGGGAGAAATCCATCAGAATAGGATGTAGGACTGGTGGGCTTCTAAATCATTCTTATAAACGGTCAATAAATGCTAGTTCCCTTCCAACCTATGCACTTCTCACTCATGCTTCTACATCAGGCAAATGTATAACCTTTAGAACCTTATCCTCATCTGGTCTACGACCTATGCCTCATCTGTGAGGTTTATTTTTAAAGCACATGTTTAAATTCTGTTCAAAGTATAGATTTTCACATACCAGCTCCTGCCAACAGAGCGTAAGTCGTTTCTTATCTAAGGTGGTTTGGTTCAACATCTTGGGTTTCTTCTCTGCTTCAGAGATAAAAACACTATAAGAGAAGAATAACAATTCTGAAACCTACTTAGTGAAAATCCATTTATGTAATTCCAGAGATTTGCAAAAATACTTTCTGCAATACAATGGGAAAGTTGATGAAGCCACAGACCCAAGATTTCTCATTTAGAATTAAGCAGTGGTGTACTAACTTTTCTAAGAGACAAAATGAGGATTGGAAATGATGCCCAGACCCCACATTAGTTTGGGGGAATAGATGCTTGTTTTCCTACTTTCTTTCATGTATATATCCATTATGATTGCTATCCAAGGTCATAACAAACACAAAATGATGCCATTTTCCATCATCTTACACATTTAACACATACCAAGAGTTTCCTGAAAAGTTGTATGTAAAAAATATTTTAGACTCAATACTGGGATATGTCCTCACATGTTAAAAACTATACAAAAGACTGAGTAGTAACATTTTGAGGGATGATGTTAAAAATGTGCTCAATAAAATGGTAGAGGTTATAAATGCAATTGAAGAAGAAATAAAATGGCTTTAAAACTTGGGGAAATAAGATATTGTCCTCATTAGCGATAACAAATGCAAATGAAAATCAATACCATTTTCACTTACTAAAAATTGGATAATATTCCGGGATGGTGGGGGAAGTAGTCACTCTTCTCCAATAATTGTTATAATGTTTAAGAGACAATTTGATAGCACTTGTCAAAATTGAAATGTCCGTATAATTTGATCCAAAAATTAAACTAGAATTCTGTTCTTCAAAAACAACTAAAAAATTGTGCAAGATGTTCACACAGTAATGCTTATCATAACATTGTTTATAGTAGGAAAATAAGTAGAAACAACTAATATATCAGGGACCAGTGAAATATGTGATATATATCACACAGTTAAATATTGAGGACTATCGTAATACTACTATAGAAATATGCGAGCAATAGGTTGTAGAGTGAAAAAAACAATGTGCTAAACAAAGTGTGCATCATTTGTGAAAAAATATAGTATTTTTAGGAACGTGTGGGTTTGCAAACACACAGGAAAAAAATCTAGGAGGACAAATCACACTTGTCTCTGGAGAGTGGGATTGGAGAGAGAATTGAGAACACTTTTTCTTTATACATTTCTATACTTTTTTTGGTAAGATGAGCAGTAACACTATGATTTAGAAAATCAAGGAGAAACAAAAGGAAACAAGGAAACAAAAGGGGAAGTCTAAGATGCCACACCTCTCAGTGAGGGGTCCTATGTCAGCGCAATTAGAAACCTCACCAGAAATTCTCTGTGGACGTGCTAGTCAAGTTAAATGTTCTCTTAATTTTTAAAAAGGATTCTGTTTTGAGGAAGGCATCTTGTTGCTACATGTCTACCTTTCTGAGAGCCACAAGAAATTCCATTCCACTCCCAGGACGGACCAGCTCAAGAGGACATGATGGACACTTCTGACTTCTGAGTTCTCTCTCCCTTTCTCACAGCAGGAGAAACCATTAATTTCCTCCTCAGAATCAGAGTAAATTACCATGGCACCTGTTTCTGTTCATTCTTCATCTTTCAGACCCAACCTGCTGTGGCCTGTGGATGGCCTCCTCACCTTAACGTGGCAAGTGGCCTGTCTCTTCTCCAGGGGGGCGGGGGAGACCCGGAAGTCCAGCTGCTTAACCACAAATGGGTGTGTGGGGGGGAAACAGGAAGCCCACCTTGACCTCAGGTGCTTTCTCAAATGCAAGATTACCAAATATAAAACTAACAATTTGAACTCCATCTGACCCTCATAAATATGTGTTCAGTTGCTTGTAACTTGAAGAGAAAGGGGAATGATTATCACTCCAAGTAACCCCCTAATATAAAAAATTACTGAGCTATAATTTGCCCACAAACAGTTTCTAAAAATATGAGATCATGAAGCTTTTCAAAGATGCTTAAAGAGAATTGCAGGTGGCACTTAGCTCTCAGCAAGAGTGGCACTGACACATACTGCTTCTATAATGAGAAATGAGAAAGAAAGATAGAAATAAATATATATATTTATTTGTTTGCTTCCCTTTTTTAAAGCAAAAATGTGGGGTCATTGAGAGATTAGGAAAGAGAACTTACAAAGCAGAACACCAGAATTTAGCTACTTAGCTACCCCTGTCTAATTTTTGCCTTACATCAAATAAATCTCTGCCCCTTCATCATTGCTTCCTTTATGACAAATTCTCATTTTTGTTCAAGTCTTGAACTAATTAATTTCAAGCATTAGTCCAGGTTACTTCCTTATGTGATAGGCAGCCCCTACAATGGCCCCCAGTGACCTCCTTCTCCTGCTCTTCTTGCCATTGGGTAATTCCCTCCCTTTGAATGTACAGTAGACCTAGTAACTTGCTCATAGTAGAGTATGTCAAGAGTGATGCAAACACTGAATCATGGAACACTACATCAAAAACTAATGGTGTACTGTATGGTGGCCAACATAACATAATGGAAAAAAAAAAAGAGTGATGGAATATCACTTCCAAGATTAGATTATAAAAGACCATGGCTTCCACCTTGCTGGCATGTTCTCTCTGACTCTTCTAGCTTGCTCATTCTGATGAAGTCAGCTGCCATGTCGTGAGAGGTAGCCCACATGGTAAAGAATTGAGGCTGACTTCCAACCAAGAGCCAGCAGGGAACTGAAAGTCCTCAATCCAACAGCCCGTGAAGAACTGAGTTCCACAAATAACCACATGAGTGGTCTTGGCAGTGAATCCTGCCGACTGGGAGCCTCAAGGTAACTGCAGCCTCAGTCAATGCCTTGACCGTAGTCTCTGAGAGGCTCTTGGCAAAGGACCTGACTAAACCACACCTGGACTCCTGACCCACATAAACTGAGATCATCAATACTGTGTTAAGCCACTAAATTGGGAAGTCATTTGTTACTCCATAATAAGCAACTAGTATACTCTATTTTTAAATCTTCCACTATATTTTTTGCTACCTGGAATCAGAGTCCTTAGTTGGTGCTTATTGTGTTATATAAAAAATTCCATTAAATGGTATTTGATATAACTTATCCATCTAATTGTTAAATAGTTGTTGAGTAGCTACCAAATGCAAAGAAGTGTGCTGGGCTTAATGTTACTAGCATTTTTCTTGTTTCATTTAAAAGTCTCTGCAGTGAGTCTTTCCTTTCTTCTCTTTCTTTTTTTCCCCTTTGCTTTATGCTTTAGTTAAGTGTCAGGAAGCAACAGTGAGCCCAGAAGTGCCAGCTCATTTACTGAACAAAATAAAGATGGATAGAACACTATAAAATGCCCATCTGAATTCATGGAAAATTAACTATTTTCTAAGGTAATTAAAAGCTGATTCCATATAGCTCAGTAACCCATATACCAGCTGTCTCTCCCAGTACCTGCTTTGACTGATGAAGTCACTGAGCACCGTCTTTATTTTATCTTCTGATGCTTTCTCTGAAATCTTGATCAATTCTCTCACTTCTTCTATACTTTCTTCCTGGAAACAAACCACAGAGGTGGAGGGATGGGGGGAAGGAGACACTGTAGTGGAGACACTGATATCTCAGATATCATATTTTGCTGATTTTGTGTTTTAGAAATGAAGGAAGATTTCCTCCATTTTCTTGTGTCTGATCTGGGAAATGCTACTGCATTCTAACTTTGAACCTCATTTTTCTTAACTGGACTCAGTCTAAATACAAATCTTCTCCTGCATTGTTCAAACTCATCATTTCTATCCCAAATCATTTCTGAACGGGGAACCATTTATTTAGAGTCTACGCTGTGGGGAAACCTAACGTCAAGAAATACCTAACAAAGTAGAGTAAATAAGATATAATTTTTTAAAACTTCAAAAGCAATGTTAAAGTCATTTTGTTATATGGGAATACAGTAATACTGAATAATCCTAAATTTCAAGGGTTATCAATTCTTCTGATTATAGGGGTTTGGGCAGGGGGTGAGGTGTTATATGGGGGAGGACAGGTTGCATATGACAATGGCTATATGCTTGTATATTTAATAATCATACTTTTCTTTTTAGGTCTAAATTCTAGTATTCCATTCAGTGGCTTGGAGGGATACAGCACTCAAAATATACATGTTATCACTGCTTTGCTGGAACTTACAAAAACTACATTCTCTACTACACATCAAAGTTTGATGTCTGGAGACATATGTTTCCCTCTTTCCCCTTCACTGTGAGAACAGGCAAATTGTGGAGTGGTTAAAAATTTAGGCATAGGGTCAAACTACCTCTGTTCAAATCCAGCCTCTATCCTTATAAGTGAACTAACCCCCTTATGCCCAGTTTCCTATAAAATCAGGTAATAAAAGTGCCCACCTATAGCACCATAGGGAGGTGTGGACTTCTTCAAACACAGCTTAGTGCTTAGTAAATATTCAATCATGTTAGCTGTGATATGCCAAGCATGGCAGGGATCCTGGCACTGAGAAAGGAATTAGAGATGAATGGTAAAGGCAGCTATGGCCTCTAGGGAAACATTCTTGTTTGTCAAGCCTTTTAGAAATAAACTATCTCTTTGGCCTGAAGGAGAAGCAACACCAGCCTTACAAAGCGAGTCTACGGCTTCCACATACTGTGACATCAGACCAAGCATCCTCTACCACCTTCAGACTCTACCTCCATGATGCCTGGAATCCCCAAGGCCAGAGGGGAAACTTTGTTTCACACAACTAGAGACAGAATGATAAAGCAAACGAGAGAGAGAGAAATTTGTTCTTTCCCTAACATAGGTTTTCATGGAATGAGAGGGTCACCTGGTGAGGCATGGTGGGACAGAAAGTAGAGGGCGTAAAGAGAAATATAAGAGCAGACACAGGGGCACCTGGGTGGCTCAGTTGTTAAGCGTCTGCATTTGGCTCAGGTCATGATCCCAGGGTCCTGGGATCAAGCCCCGCATCGGGCTCTCTGCTCAGCGGAAAGCCTGCTTCTCCCTCTCCCACTCCCCCTGCTTGTGTTCCCTCTCTCACTGTCTTTCTCTCTGTCAAATAAATAAAGAAAATCTTAAAAAAAAAAAAAAAAAAGAGCAGGCACAGGCATCAAAGGGCAGGCTCAGGAGCCCAAAGAAGCAGAGATCCCAGGGCTGCCTTCCTCCCCAGGGTTGGGTGGAGCAAGCCAGCAGTCACTGAATATTGGCACAGTCATAAGTACTTCCACATGTTCAATCCCTCAAATAACTCTTGGCCCCTTTCAGGGGCCAGGTCTTACGCCAGATGCCACAGAACAGTGGGAAATGGTTATTGAATAAATAAGCACACAAATCAATTGTAAAATGCAGAAAGCTCTGAAGGTAAAGCACAGAGTATTACGAGAGAGGATAATGGGGAGAAGCCAGAAGGCTTCTCTGAGAAGTAGTTGAAACTGAGCTGTGGAAGTTGATGCGTGACACAGGAGAAGCGTGGAGGGGAGAAGTAGCTCAGGATGAGGGAACAGCCCAGAGGTGGCTATGAGGCATTAAAGAAGCTTTGTTTCTTCAAAAAACCAGAAGTCCAGTGTGCTTGGAACAAAGGAGAAAGCATGTGAGAGGCAGGACTGGACAGGTGGCAGGACTTCATCTTGTAGGATTCTCTACCATGTTAAGGACTTAGAATTTTATATGAGTTGAAGCCAGGATCTATCAATTTTGTGAGAAGGTTGTCAATCTCCTGCCCTTTGGAGATTAGGAAAACAGCCTATCCCTAGGTCCTGTAACATTAAGAAGCAGAGTGAGGATTCTAATCCAGGTAGTTCTATTTAAAGTCAAAATGTATTCTCATTCCCCTGGGTCCACATGGTAGGAACTATGTGCCCTCCAAAGCAGCGGCTGCAATTTATTTGTATTTAAATTGAGGTCAAGACCCTCTCCTGAATGAATAAAAAGATTCCTTTTGCCTCCAGCTGCCCAATGTTCAAATCCATCACCTGTGAGTGTCACCTACCAGCAGGTCCGCCATTTTCTCCAGCATGTTGGACAAGTGCAGCCTAAATGTCTGGTCTTCCCAAGAACTGATGAAATAGACACAGGGCTTCTTGGCCTCAAAAGGCAAATAGTTGTAATTCCTGTGAAAACAAGTTAGGTCTGGATGTTAGTTGGCAATCGGTATTATTCAGGCAATTCCAGCCACATATTCATGTTTTATACATTCTGAGTGGGGTGGGGAGGAGTGGTGACAAAACAATCCAACAATTAACTCTATTCTGATCGGGGACCCATGAACAATAAACAGTGAAGAGATATGTGGAGACAATGGAGAGGTACTAACAGCTACAGCCATCAGACCCAGGGCAAAGCCTAGAGCTGAGCACCAGGGGGCGGGGTTTATCAGGCAAGCCTTCTGCAAGGAGGAACTTCCCTTTCCAGTTGAGAAAGGAAAGAAGGGAGAAAAACTAACATGTTCCCTTTAATGTCTATAAGTTACGCACTATGTGAAAATCAACCAAGATAACAGATGTGAATGAAATTGCTAGAGAACTGTAAGAGCGTAATATATTATTAATGAGGATGAAGCATGTGCCTCAATCTAAACTGCAGCAACCATGTCACCATCCATGCATCCATCCATCCATCTAGGCATCCATGCATCCATCCACTCGTCCATCCACCCATCCATCCAACCACCCATCCATGCATGCATGCATCCATCCATCCATCCGTTCATTCATCTGTCCATCCATGCATCTATCCATCCATCCATCCATCTGTCCATCCATGCATCTGTCCATCCATCCATCCGTCCGTCCATCCATCCATCTATCCATGCATCCAATATTTATTGCTGCCAGGCATTGGTGTTGATAATGCAGGTAACCTGCTTGGTTAAGAAGGGACAAGAGGGTGCGACATAGCTAGAAGGGGAGATGTGGAGCCAAAGGAAATTTTTGAGGATGATGGTTGGATATGTTTAAATGCTGATGAGAAAAAGACAGTTAACAGGGTGAGACTGAAGACACAAAAGAAGGAACTAACTTGTCAGTTTGGGTCCCCAGGAAAGAAAGGGATGGGGTGAGGCAGGTAAGGTGGGAGAATTGTGGCAAAAAGTTGAAGTTCCTGTCTAATGACAGCTATATCCTTGACTAAGTTTTCCCCAAAGCCCCTGTAATTTTCCCACTAACAGCTGGGACTATGAGAAGACAAATGTGGAAGGAAGGGCAAGGCAAAGTTCTTGGAATGGGCAGGGTGAGACATGTGGCCCTATAAACATGGGCAGTCTTTGGAGTCACACACCTATAAAGGCTGAGAGAGGAGACACGGAGGGAGAGAAGGCTTTGTTTCCATTCCAAAAAACTGAAGAGAACTTCGTCCTGAAAGAATGGATGGCTGTTCTTTTTAGATCTACAAACCAAATTTCTTCTGGATACCATAAAATTAGCAAAGGTGTCCTACAGTCTGTTCTGCAGAAAATAAATCAGCAGGCATCAATTTAGAAGAGAAGCCAAATAAATTCTTGGCAGAGCCTGAGATTGTTATTGTAACAGGAGAACAAAAAATAAATAAATAAAAAAGTTAGAAATCAAACTGTTCTTTCACTTCTTTTAAAACTATTGCGCCAAGAATCCTATAAGATACATTCTCACCCAATATTGTCCTTTGTTCCAAGGTTTCTATGGTTCAGATTATTTTGGGCTAATGATGTTTGGGGCCTTTGTCTCTTGGATTCCCAGAGTCCTCCTAGTCTTACTGGGCCTGGGACTGCGATGCTGTGGGTCTCAGGCAAACTCAGTACAGATGGAGCATGGCGGATGGGAGGACACCACAAGGGCACCATATTGCCAGTGGGAAGAGAAGCCTGCCAGTTGGAATGGCTGCCCTGACACAAGACCAGCCTTGTGACTTTGGGTAAGGGTAGCCCTAGAGTCCTGAGAAGGAAATGATGAACTGCCACGGGATGTCCTGTGCTCTGATCTCATTCCTGAACTCCAGCCCAGTACAGAAATCGTATGTAAATGCATGTGCTTTGTAAAACAGGAAAGCCCAGAAGAAACGCAAGGAGGTATTTTAATGAAGGTAACACACAAATCAAGTGACCATGTGTCTGTGCCTGTGTGCGTGCACATGTGTGTCTATTATAGACATAGGATCTTCCAATTCAGCTGCTGCCACCCCAGTTTTCCACTATGTGGACAGAGCCTCAATACAGTGACTGAGGAATATTTCTGAGAGACAGAAAGTCCAAGAAACATAGCATGATTCGTTTGGGTCTCCTTGAGCCAGTTGGCCAGCACTAATATGAGATCCATCCAAGGGTGCTTTGAGACTTCTCATTTCCTCCCAAACTGTTCCCACACTAGACCTCCTGACATTCTCACCCATTGTCAACAATGGGGCTAGTCCAACAAGTGGAGAGGTTTTTACTGCCTGGTCCCCGTGAAAGGATGCACAGTACCTCTGAGTAGTCTCAGAAAAGTCTCCCTGAGTTGCAGATCCAGGCATAGGATCCACTTATTGATCAACTCAGTTTTGAGAATAGACAGAGAAGCCATCAAAGGACTGGGAAGTTTGGGTTCCTTGTTGGGTATGTGGAAAGGAGGTTGGACAACCAACTATGGCTGCCAGGGAGCCAAAAAAACATGCCAAGGTAGGTGGTCCATGGGAGGGACAGGATTTAGAAAGTATAGGAAACACTAAAAAATGAGCAGATAAACAGCTCAGATTATTTTCACTCACTCCTTCATACTTTGTCCCAAACACTCTCTTTCCACTGCTTAAGGCCCTTCCCATTCTTTAAGATGTTGCCTTTTCTGTGACCTTTATCAACTCCTCACCTCCTCCCCAGGGAAAGTAAGTTATCCGCCTCCTCTCTCTGCCCCCTTAGTACCCTGTGCGCAACTCAGTTATGGTAATTCCTTAACTCATTCAGAAACATTTATGAGGATCTACTACATTCCAGGCTTAGAGCGGAGCAGATACACAGGTGAATAAGACATGGTCCATGTCCTCAGAGTGCTCACAGTCTCATAGAGAGGCAAACAAGTAAAAACATCTTAATGAAGTATGATTGGTGCTTGGTGGAGACATCAGACTTGGGATTTAGGGAAGGGAATGTGGGCTTAGCCTTGAAGGGTAATGGGAACCAGCAGTTGTGACAAGGGGGCTTGTTGCCTGGCAGAGGGCAGAGCATACTCAAAGGCCCAGAAGCAGCAAATAGCAGGACACATTTGAAGAACCACCAGAGACACTGCGTGGCTGGAGGAATGGCAGAGTTTGTGGACTAGAGATGATGGTAGAGAAGTAGATAGGGATGGAAATAACAAGGTGTGGCTTCTGAAAATAATCCTGAAAGCCAAAAGCAGCCAATGAATGATGTCAGAGTAACTGGGTCTGATAGATAGTTTGGTGAATTTCCTGAAGATCCGAGCCAGGTAGGAAGTTTCTAGAATAATCCAGGACAAAGATGCCAATGGCCAGAATTAAAGAAATGACCATCTATATGAGAAATTCTTGAGAACCAGAATTGACCAGACTTCATTGCTGACTGGATGTGGGAAGGAAGGGAACAGAGGGCAGCTGACAGCTTTTTGATTTGTGGTTCAGAGGACACAGGGAATGGTAGGACTAGTCCATGAGATGGGAAAGATAGGAAGAGGAACAATGTTGTGTATGGAGACAATGAACCCGCTACAACTTTGGGACACCCAAGTGGGGGTGTTTGGATTTGCTGCTCAGGGAAGAGGGCTGTCTGGGGAAATGCTTTTGGGAGTCCTTGTTATCCTGACAGTGCTCAGTAAGCCATGGGTCTGTGCCCAGAGAGTGTCTAGATTGGGAAGAGCAGAGAAAGTGAAGAGCACCAGCAATGTGGTTCCAATCTCCTCACATACAAAGGGGGAAAACTATGTTCTCTTATGAGAACCCAATGAGAGGATAAAGCTTTTCTCAGGGCACAAGCCTCAGAACTCAGAAGACTCTTGCTGGATATGGCTTTCCCTTCTTGTAAATCATGTGGTTGATGCTCGACACCACTTTCTTACAACAAAATTCTAGAATTTTACTTCTCTTTGCATGTTGAAAGGTTATGTGGGTTTAAGATCAATGAGTATGCATGGAGGTACCCCAGATGTTTTCAGAAATGGTCTTTTCTGGTGGCTGACAGTTTTTGTTTTTGTTTTTGAGTTCTTTAGTCTGACTGTGGCAAAAACAAGATAAGAAATGATGTATCCAATAATCCCATTTACATAATAGCACAGAATTCAGATGAATGTAGTACTATTAATAGGGTTTGGATTGAAATGTTAAATTCTGACCTTCCCACCTTGTTATGCTTCGAAGTTATAGATATGGTAACAAGAGCCGTCATCATTGTCCTGCCCTTAGATGAATTACCTGGATGTGACATTTGGAGAGTTGTCAACATTTCACTAAAGATTCAGTAGAGTGGCAATGACCATGTTGCCCCTGTTCGTGCCTTGCTCCCATGACTAAGATTAAAAAATGATGTTTCTGGTTTTAGGGAAGAACTGAATCAAACAGTCCCAGAAACAGGTCAGACTCCTATTGTCAGAACCCTGGCTGTTCTCCCTTACTGTGTCTCCTACCTGTTTCCTTCTGTCACGAGTGGCTTCTCTGGGTGAGTGGTGGAGACCATAGGGATGGCAACATTGTGGGCTGCATCCCCTTCTCCTTCATGCAGGAGTGGGAGGCTGTCTTCTTCAGCTGATTCAGCTGACTTCTTACTCCCATGATGGGACCCTCCATCAAGCAGATTCCCAAAATTACCTATAGAGACAGCAGCAAGGGGAGAGAGGTCAGGTGTCAACAAGCAGAATCAGGCTACCAAGGTCATATCCTCCCAGGACAGAGAAATAAGATCTCAGTATGAAGGTGGGAAGTGTGATGGTCAGACCAAAGAAATAAGATTGACAGTGATGGTGAGTCATCATCTGCATCCATCTCATGTTCTCTTTTGTAAAAACTACTTAAGTCACAAATTAACTGGATTCCATCTCCACTTCCTTCTGCTCCTTGGAAGGGCACCCTCCTGATGGGAATCAAGACCTTCTCTAATGGAATGCTCTTCCTTGGAAAGATTTTCCCAGCTGTACATCAGCCCAGGAAGATCGTTGGGAGTTATAATAACTGCACCTACAATATGCACGGGACTTCACAAGCATTAACTCATTACACTCTTGCAATAGCTTTATGAAGAGTTATCGCTATTCCCATTTCATAGATGAAGAAACTGAGACCCAGAGAAATTAAGTGAGCCTAGGAGTAATAGAACTAGGATTAGTAATCCAAGTCCTTCTGAATCCAAACTATACTCTTAATCCTTTTTTTAAGTATGAAAATAAATCTATCCCTTACATATTGACACTAGGGTGAACAAAGAATTATTCATTTCTTTCTGAGGTGCAAACCTCTGCCAGAATGCTATCATTTCTATGTAAGACACTAACTCATTCATTCAAGAAACAAGCATAAAGCCAGTGCCATGTGCCAAGCACTGTGCTTGTTTGCACTTACCGATAGAAACTTCAAAGCTAATGGGTTTATCTCCAATCTTCCGGTCAATCATGGTAGCTTCAAAAAATGCTCCAAAAAGTAAAAATTTCTCATATTTTTCTGGTATAATCTGTAGAAAGAAAAAAAATTTAGACAGGTCTGGCTTTATTTTTTTTATTACCAGGAAGTTGAATTAGTGATGTTAACTTGTCCAGAGTGATTTGTAGGCATTTGAATTTCAATGTCAGCCTGAAAGGGCACATCATTTCTCTGCTAAGCAGGCAGGCAGGAACCAGGACCTACAAATTACAAATCCAAATTCAGCCATCTATCTAGAATGATATAATCTCAACCTTCTGAGCTTCTGCCCTGCAATTAAAATCTTTTTTTTTTTTTAAAGACAAAGGTTGGCATGTGTATCTTTCTACAGTGCTATTGGTAAAACACAGGTCTGGAATCACCTTCAGGTGAGCAGGCATTTAGAAAACAGACAGTAACAGAATCAAACCCTTACATTGGAGCATTGTTTTATAGATTATATAGGAGATCACATACATTATGTTTGTTTCTCAACAACCTCAAGAGGTCAAAATCTGGATCATTCCCATTTTACAGGCGAAGAAGTTGAGGAAACTAAACTTAAGGTTGAGCTTAGTAACTTTCCCAAGTATTCTGACCACAGACCAGTGCTCTTTGAGCTCTACCATGTGCTAACCCAACACTTTGGTGCTGTTCAAAGACAGACCTTACTCCCCGAAATAACATAAGCCTGGATAAAAGAGACAGGAAGGCTAGGCACTTGCATGAGCATCAGCCAATCCAATGCATCCAGGACAAGCTATAAGCATGCGGAGGGTCTCAGGATCACATCGGCTTTTATACTGAAAAGGGCCTTGGAGTTCATCTGCTCCAGCTTCCTCCTATCTGAATAAACTAAAGCTCAGAGAGACTAAGGGGCTTCCCCAGGTCACACAGCAAGTTAAAGTCAGCCAAGATTTGAAGCTTGGGCTCCACCAAGCCTTCCCTCTCAAGGAATCCTACATTGTGGAACACAGGACCCTGAGAGGTCACAAGACAGGAGCCATCCCGAGGTAACCATAACTGTTTGTAGATGACTCCTATTGATGTGGAACAGGTTGATGGTTCAGGGAGCAGATGTAGCTGAGACACCAACACAGCATCACATTTCTGAGTGAAGAGGCTGAATGAGTTGCCATACAGTCCGTGTTTCCTGGTTTCAGAGTTGGATTGATTGCATTACATGGAAAAAGCAATAAGGTTCATCTAAGGAAAATAAACAGTTATGGCTTTAGAGCTGAAGAGCCCCATTCAATCAAGAGCCCTGAACCCTGTCCCTCTGAGAGCCAACAGGTCTCAAAAAAGTGACCTTTCCTTTACACAGGAGCCTCCTTGCTGTTGGCATCAGCAGGAAATGTTTCTATTGACCAGAAAAAGTTGGACAGGGTGGGGGCCCAGTGCTGGATCTTAGTCACAGAGCACACACCCCTCCCACCTGCTGCCACTGTATGCACCAGCTGTAAATGAGCCACTTATCTTGCCTTTCTGGGGCCAAGTTTACTCTCGGGGAAGAGGTTAAAAAGTATCTGAAGACCTGTTGGGACTATAGGCCATGTAGCCTAGAAGAGGGATGACGGACTCCTTAACCAGATCAGCCCTTCTTCAAATCCCAGCTCTGCTACTTCCTAGCTGGTTGACTTTAGGCAAGTCATATCCACTCCCTGCGTGTCACTTTCCCTGTCTGTGAAATAAACATTGTCATAGGGCCTACAGGGGGGAATAATGAGATCATCTACACAGAGCATCTTGTATAAAGCCTACACATACAAATGCCACAAGAATGGTAGTCTTGGCAAGTATTTCAACAGATAGAATTCATCTCTTAATCCTCCCATCCTTCAGGTCTAACTCAAATGGCCCATTCTTTTGGAAGCATACTTTGACTTCCTGAGTTTGAGAAATGATGATGGCAATGTTTACTGAGTTCTTATAATGTGTCAGATGTAGTATTAAGAATTTTACCTACATTATCTCATGTAATTCTCATAACCACCCTAGGAGGAAGATGCTTTTATTCTACCTGTTTAAAGATGAAGACAATGAAGCTTGTGAAAGATTAAAATATCTGTCCAAAATTACTAAACATGCCTAATATTTATTGAGCACTTACTATGTGCCAGGCTCTATTCTTAGTACTTTGTATGTATTAATTCATTAAATCCTCACTGTGAGCCCATGAAGTAGAGATTATTATTGGAAATAAGCATAAGGAGCTTAAATCACTTGCCCAAAGATTCAGAGGCAATGTTTCTCCAGAGGCTGGGCAATAACCACTGCCACATCTGAAATCCAGCTCTCTTACTTGAGAGCCCAACATTTTAATTATCATACTTCACTTACTCCAGGAAATATTAGCACTTTATCTGTAGCTCCTTATTGCATGTATCACCTTCTACTTCCTGTACATTTATTTTGTATGTCTTACCTCCCCTTCTATATCATAATTTCCATGGAGTCAAACTCTCTTTGTATTCCTACCAATATTGAGGATGATGTCTAAAAAAAGAAACTAGTCAGTACATGTTCACAGAATTTGAAAATGAACATATCTATTAGATTAGCTATGCTCTGTGAAAGCTTGGCATAGGGAGATAACCTTTGATGGTGGTGATGAGGGTGAACTGGAAAAGCCAACATCATGGGATCTCATTTGTCCAGGTATGCAATGAGAGCATGGCTGCAGCAAGGGAGATAGGAGCTCAGGACCCTGGAGAGCTAAAAAAGAAACTGCTTCAAGAAGGAATATCACCATGTTGGTAAGGGTGAGCTCTGAGGCTGTTGAGGCTCTGGGGAAGGTAGAAAATATGTCCACAAATCCTTGGAAACCCCCCACTCAAAAGATGAAGCCTAATTCCTCCCCCCTTTCGGTGTGGACTGGACTTAGTGACTCATTTCTAACAAGTAGAACGTGGCCTAAATATCAGTGTGTGACTTCTATGGGTTTGGTCATAAAAGACATTGACATTTTTGCCTTGTTCTCTCTTGGATCACCCACTCCACTCAGGGGGAAGCCTACTGCCATGAAGATACTAAGAAGCCTATGGAAGGGTCCATGTGGTGAGAAACCAAGTCCTGCCAACAGCCACGAGAGTGTGCCATCTTGGAAGTGCATCCCACAGTTCCAGTCAAGCTGTCAGATGACTGCAGCCCCTACCAACATCTTGATTGAAACCTCATGAAAAATTCTGAGCCAGAACCACCAAGCCAGGTATTCCCAAATTCCTCATCCACAGAAAAAATAAATGTTTGTTGTTTTAAGTTGCTAAACTTGGGGATAATAGTTATATAGCAATAGATAACTAATAAACCCAGCAGGAAACTGACCACAAACAAGAAGCCAAGATGAAGAGAGAAAGAAGGAGAAATAAGGGTTTGAATGAGACCTGAATTTCCCCTCTCCTACCACCTTCTATCCAAGAGCCAAGATGGGCTATTGGCCTTGTAGAAAATGTACACTCTATGTAAATTCCCAGCTACACTTGCTTTCTGCTAGAAATTTTTTTTTAGATGGCCTTAGCAAAATATCTTGAAGATACTGACATGGGTTAAGAAAATCTTCTATTAGGCCCTTTCTACTCGGTAATTCCTATCTAGAAGAGAATGGCCAGTCTCAACAGTAGGAAAGATTGCTGCAGAATCAGATACAGTCAGGTATCAGCATAGGTGGCTACTTAAGGTACCCGCAGTTTCTGGCAAAGTCCAAAAAATGTCATTTCCGAAGTCGGCATATATTCTGAAAAAATACACATAAATACAATCACATCAAAGCAATGTCAATTCTAACCACAAGAAACTGACAGTACACATTTCCAGAGAATATTTCCCAATATACAGGTCCATAGGGGAGAGCTGGGGAGGTCCACAAAATATCCAAAATAGGTCCAAAAAACAGGGTGGAGAGCTCTGAACAAATCATAAACACCGGTCACAGCAATGGTAAATGTACTGCCAGCCGACCATAAACATGTAAAGAACACTGTCAACCGTCGTACAGGCATTCCCTCATTTACCCCCAGGAGGTGCCTATGACAAAGAGACTATTACTACCTCATTTTGTTAATGAGTAAACTAAAACATGGAGAGGTGTTACTATCAGAGCCAACCCTCACGATTTCCAATAAAACCAGCCATGAATAGAACCAACCCTCACGATTTCCAACCCTGGGCTCCAACCTCTCCCCCACACTGATTCTTAAGATGTATTAGGTCCCAGCAGTAAAAATAAGTGGCTCTACCAAAGCCAAGGTGACCCAGACCAGCCATTACCTTCCTTCCCCACCCAAAATGATTGTCTGGTTGACCTGAGAAACATACTCCCAGAGGCAGAATCATCCAAGTTGAGAGCTGGAGTCCACTCACCTCTGCTACTAACAAAACACAAGTTCCTTCATTTGCTTAACTACAGAGCAGTCTTGCTAATCTAAACAGTTGATGGGGGGATGTTTGGGTGGCTCAGTCAGTTGAGCTTCTAACTCCTGATTTCGGCTCAGGTCATGATCTCGGAGTCATGAGATCAAGTCCCACATGGGGCACTGAGCATGAAACCTGCTTGGAATTCTCTCTCCCTCTCTCTCCGCCCCTCCCCCACTTACACTCACTTGCTCTCTTGCTCTCTCTCTCTCTCTCAAATAAACAAACAAACTAACAAACAGTTAGGGGATATTCACAGTTTGTATGCATCTTGGAGACCCAGATCTCTTTCCCATCATACAGAAAAAATGCTAATGTGTTTTATGTTGCATAATAGGCATTCCTTTGAATTGTGATTTCCCCCCAGTCTTAGCCAGGGGAATAGGTTTCTCAAATTCTTTCATCCTAGCGTGTCACTCACTCTTCTTCCTCTTCATCCCTCATCCCACATTACCTCACATCCAGAGCATAGGCTAGGCTAACAAAGCTAAACAAAATTAGCCCACAGATAGAGCTCAGTCCATCCCCCCACCAACCTGCTTTCACCAGCTCTCCCAGAACACTTTTATTTCCCTTTCACTTTGGTTCTCATGGGATTCCATGTTTTGGGGGAACACTGGAGGGATTTATCATGAGCAGATGGCTGTAATGTGTCAGGAAGAGGCAGCGGATCAGCGCAGAATACAAGGCTGGGCCAAAACACATTTAGCAGGGGGAGTGAGACCTGTGCATGCCTTTGGGAGCCTGTGGGAGCTGGGGTGGCAGGTGCTGCCTCCACTCTGGGCTCGCCTCGCAGGGGCAGTGGAGCAGTGCTCAGACCTACCTGGGGGGGCACATCTAAAGGTTCCACCTCTACCTCTGTTGAGTTGGTCTTGTCTGACACCTGCTGGGACTTTCCATCATTGGTTTTGTCACCCTTGTCTTTACTGGAGCCTTTGGAAGATTTGGAGTCCTTGTCCTTTGAAGACAACTTGAGCTCCTTGAGTGCCTTGGAAAATTTAGATTCCTGCGCCCCTCCCGAGAGGATCTCCACAGCAATTTCCACCAAGATTCTGCCCCTGAATGACACGCCTTCTCCAAAACCTTCATTCAGTTCCTGGTAGTCATCCATCAGGCTGTGGTTCCTGGGTGAACCGTACAGGTTAATCCAGGCAGGTCCGAAAGTTGGTAGAAAGCCTGCAAAAGCCCCAAGCTTTAGTTGCCCGGTAATGTTTCCAAGTTGATTATTTCTTGCTTTATAAAAATTGTGCACATTCATTTAAAATGTAAAATATACAGAAAAGACAAGAGAAAATATTTACAGAATATCCCATCCCCCAAAGAGCCACCATTGCCACTTTGATATATTTGCTGTATTTCTTTCTTTCTAGTCCTCCTTGCATGCACACGTGTACACTTCTTCACAGCTGTAATGTTACTACCAGTGCTACGTGCATCCTTTGTCTGTTCATTCATTCAACTCATGTTTATTGAGTCCTGACATGTGCCAGGCACCACGCTAGATACTAAACACAGAGCCCAGTGGAGAATGAAGCAGAAACGAACATTAAACAAGTAAATATTTACATTATAAGTGCTAAGCAGAAGATTTGCCTTATGCAGCAAGAACAAATAACAGGCTGAAGAGGCATGGAGAGGGGTCAGGCAGAAAGAGAGAGATTCTGTCCCAAAGGAGGGTCGATTTTAAGGAGCAGAGATACTGTGGTAAAGGGGATAAAAAGATTTTGTGGCCCCTGATGTCTAATTTTTAAAACTATTTTATACATTTCTTTGAACACCATCAAGATGTTCCTGAAAATTTGGGGTAAAACATGTTTACACCAAGTTGAGATATTCTGAGGGTGGTGCGCATTCTGCGTAAAGCAATCCTGTGGCAAACCCTTCCACGATAGGAAGACTTAAACAGTAGGTGTTTATCGAGGTCTTTCTGTGGTGTCACACTGTGAGAGGTATAAAAATATGTAAATCTTGTCCTCTGCTTAAGTGAAGCCTTTGGTATATACGTTATATGTACACACACATATATATATGCATAAATATATTCATCAATTAACACCAATTTGTAGTGCAGAGAAAGATTGCCTTGGGATTTTAAGGAGGGAGAGTTTGTTGGGATATTTAGAAAGTTATCACCTGCTAATTTAGGTTTTGCAAATAAAGAAAGAGTAAAAGCTCTTTCCCCTGACTGGTGGATTAGCTGCGCCTCCTCATTCCCTCTCTGGCTCTCTGAGTGTGCAGTCATAGCACCTTCCTGCAACACTCAGGACCATGTGCTCCTAACAGTGAGCTGGGGGCACAGTATCTTCTGGGCTATTTAAACATGTAAAAATCATTCTTAGCTTATGAACCATACAAACGTATTTGGCCAGCTGGATGTAGCCCATGGACCATAGCCTATCGATGTCTGATCTAATCTAAACTCTTCATTTTTCATTTAAGAAACCCAAGGCCCAGAGAGGGGGAATGACTACCTCAAGGACACACAGCAATGTTCATGGAAGACCTGGGACCACGATCAAGCCTCCTGGATCCCACAGCCAGGCTCCACCTATTGCCCTGAATCAACCCAAACCAGAAACCACACAGAGCATGGAAATGCCTAACACACTGCCTGCTCCAATCCTCTCATTATGAAAATGAGGGCTTCGAATCAGTCATTTTGTGACCCCATTCCCAAGTGAGACAGATGAAGATTTACCGTTATCTCCATCCTGTTCGTTGGAGATTTTCTTCAGGTCGATGAAATGGGTGGCCAGCACTACATCATTCACACTGCCTTCGTCCCACACCTGGATTTTCACCCTCCGACACAAAGGAGGGAACATTTCCTTGAAGACCACCTGTTCGTGCCACACAGGATTGGCACAGTTCTTCTGCACTGTGGTTCGCCCCTAAAAACAAAGCCAGCAAGATGTAAGCCGTCAAAAGAAAGGAAAGAGGCCCCCTGAACTGACTAAAGAAAACTCTTCAAACCAGCAGGAAATATAAAGTAAGTTGCCAGAAATAATGAACCTGCTTCCACCCAACACCCGTGGAAATCCGTTGCACCCAGGAACATTACAGTGGCCCCCCCTTATCCACAGGGAACGCATCCCAAGACACTAGTGGATGCCTGAACCCATAGATAATGCTGAACCTTATATATACTAAGTTTTTTTCCTATACATACATACCTATGATAAAGTGTAATTTATAAATAAGGCACAGTAAGAGATTACCAAAAATAACTAATAATAAAACAGAACAATTAAAACAATATATTGTAATAAACATTATCATAGATCTTAGCAACCTCAGCGTACAATTTCTTTCCCTTTCTTAGTGAGAACTATCACCTTTTCACTTAAAGGAAGCACTTACAGCTTCTCTTTGGTGTATCTGAATTGCCAGGACCACTCCTCCTACATCTAGGGGACATTATTAAGTAAAATAAGGGTGATTTGAACATAAGCACTGCCATAGTGCCACAGTGTACCCGATAACTGAGGTGGCTGAGTGACTAACTGTAGGCAGGGCTGACTTGCTGGATAAAGGGATGATTCACATCTGGGTAGGATGGAGCAGGATAGCGCGAGATTTTATCCCGCTATTTGGAACGGCGTGCAATTTAGAACTCATCGATTATTTCTTTCTGGAATTTCCCATTTAATAATTTCAGGCCATGAAGACCATGAGTAACTGAAACCACGGCAAGCAAAACCACAGATAAGGGAGGAATACTGTATTAACATCCTACTCTGCACCAGACACCATGCCAGGCATCAGGAGCAAAGGGAGTAATTGATGGGTCCTGCCCTCAGAAAGTTCTCATAATCACATGGGGGCTGGAAAAAGGCCAACATGCATGTTCTGAACATGAATTGTTCCATGCATCTGTTCCATGCAGCAGATATAGTTAGACCCTGAGTTTGTGTCTTATAAAAGTAAGGCCTTGTGCAAGTCACTTCCCCCTTCTGGACCTCAGTTTCCTTGTCATAAAATGGAGATGATGTCCTATATGACTCAAGGGATCCAAGTAAAAAATACTCCAATGTTCACCCTGCCAAGATGAGGGGTTAGAGTAGCATATATTGTAAGGGCAGAGACAACATGTGTGTCAGCTGAAGCTTCAAAGTCCAGCCAGCCAGGATTAAGCTGTGACCACGTGCCCAGGTGCTGGTACTTCCAATGGCTCTTGAGCAGGGAATAACAGGAAACAGAGATGTCCAGGCTTACACAGGACGAGGACTACCTGGAGAGCCTGGGGAGTAGGTTGGGAGGCAGGTGGCGAGGCTATGGAGCCTGGGGACTGAGTAACAGCTCGGAGAAGTAGCCAGAGGTAAGGAAGGAGGTCTGTCTGCCTGGGTCCTAAATTGCAATACTCCACAGCCCCTCTCCATGATCTCAAATGGACAGTGAGTGGGTCACCACCACCCCCACTTTCCTGCCATGTGACTCAACGCCTTTTGTGAAAGCTTTCTCTCTTAAGGCACTTCCTAATTTTTATTTTAACTTGATTTCATTTGATTAGTAATGTCCTAGGTAAAGAGCAGAGTTCTGGCCCTGGTTTGCTGTTGGTGGTGACAACATTCCTTACCATCTGCCCAGCAAAGGAGACCTCCACAAAGGGGTCCACGAGGTCCTTATTGTCACCCACAAATGCTTTAGTGACATTAGCCATGATGCTGGAGTTCATTTTGGGCAAGCCCTCTGCTTTGAAGAGTCTCACATAGAATCTGGCCCAGGGTCTCTCTGATGGAAACCCTTGAGGGATCAAAAGGTTCCTTGAGGGGGAACAAAAAACAAAAAATAAAAAAGCTCTCTCACTTGGAAGAAGAGAGAAAAGGTAGAAGCAATTTGGAGACAGAAAGAAGGATCCTGATATAGGAGAAAAAACTGAAAAGATCAGGATTCATCGCTAAAATGAGTTTTCTTAATAATGTACTGTATGGTGACTAACATAACATAATAAAATAAAATTTAAAAAAATAAAATGAGGTTTTTTTTGTGGTGTACTTGGCAGCGAAGGGTATGAATAGAGTGAATGCAAACTCCTTCAAGTCCTTGAATTATAGCATAAACACCATCTCCCACTCTGCATCTTAAAAGAAGTGCATTAAGTCCTCCCATTTCACAAACCACTGGTTGAAATGGTAATTCCTTCAAAGAAAAATCAGCCAAATTCAGATAAATAGGATAAGCTCAAGAACAGCTTATCTATTTTGGGTTATTATAGGGAGACAGGCGGTCCTTGTCCTAGAAGCTGACCTCCCAAAGACTAGTGACACCTTTGATAAGACACATCTTGGTGCCTCTGATAGAGCAGAATCCCAGGTAGACAAGCCATGAACTTGGCAGTTCTCATGTGCCCACAAGGAAAGGGAGGGAGAGGGAGGAAAGAGAGATGGAACCTGGGACATATCATTTCTCTTGCATGACCCTGGATGGGCCTGTCTCACTTTTCTATTTGCTCCTCGGCATCAGAGGTTTTGGGGTTGGTCTTCAAGACGTCGCCTTTCCCAGTCACACTGATGTCACACTTCAGGTACCCCTTCGTGCCAGTCCTGATGTCGTCAGGGTCTGTGAGCAGGGCCCACTTGTCACAGAACTGATGACCTGTAAAAGCGTCCTGACAGCTCCGATTCCCCACAACCCAGGCCTCCCTGGATCTGCTCCCTGGGAGGCAGCAGCTCTTGTCAGTATCCCCAGCCTCGTGCTGCCTCCCTCCCCTCCTTCCCTCCTCTCCTTTTGTTCCCACCCTCTTCTCTCTCTTCTCCAACCTGCCACAGGTATTTGGAAAGCCTTCCACCCAGCGCTAATCACCTAGATAGGTTCCTAGCTTGGACAGGCTAGGAGGACATCAATGGGGTAAAGAAGTCACATACTCTTTCACAGGCTGTAAATGGGGCTCATGGATCTTTTTGTTTGGCCTACACTGTCAGTCCAAACTTTAAAAGCTCTTACAAAATCTAGACCTCTGGCTTATCTAAAAAAAATTGTTAGATCTGCCAATACAGAATGTACAGTTCCACGTGTTCGCAGGTGGTAAGGGAGCTGAGAAGCCACTGTTCCTTTCATGTGGGTTGTGAGCTCTCCTGTTCCCCACAGTCTGTAGCACCCCTTAAGGGTATTAACCCCAACCACTGCACTCCTGGCCCCCAACTCATGAGAGTTGGAATTGCTTTGAAGAGAAGGGAGCTTTCATGAGAAGATCTAGATTTGTTGATGGCCCTCTTACTTATCAGCTCCTGACCTTGGACAAATTACCTGCCTTCTCTGAGTTTCACTTTCCTATAAATCAGAGATAATAAGAATTATCATAGCAAACCCTTATATGGCATCTGCAGCCATTACTCTGAGCTAGGTTCTATATGAAGCACTTTATGTATCAACTTAATCTTCCAACAACCCTGGAAAGGAGGTACTATCTTATCTTCATTTTCTAGATGAAGAAGCTGAGGTGCAGAGAAGTCAAGTCAGTTGCACAACCATGGAAGAGCAGGGTGGAATGTGAAGCCAGGCAATCTGGCTCTGGAGTCCATATGTGTAACTCCTATGCCACCGTTTCTGCCGTGTCACACAGCATCACAGCACGAACTTACAGACGGAATTTGTTGGGGGAAGAAAACTGCTCAGAAGTATGGACATGAAAGATAATGTTGTCATTAGATGGTCAATGTTGAGGAAAAGAGCCGGGTTTGCTCCAATTGTGTAATTGGTGCTCATCTGATTGAATGAGTGGGTCAGTGGATGGGTACATGAATGAGTTGACCTCCAGGTGTGGCAAACTGGAGATGAGTAAGGGAGAGATTGGGAAGTGATGCTTCCTTACCAGGCTGGTTGTACACAGTGCCCAGGTCTACTTTGAAGGAGCCGATCAATATGCTGCCTATCAGCTTGTGGTGAAAAACCTGAGGAGAGATGGAGCAGTGAGTTGGCTGCACTAGATTTCTCTTTGAGGGTAAATCTGTGAAATGGGTTCATGACCCCTCAGCAAGGATTCTAGACCGTGACGCTTGTCTGGCCTTCACTCTTGTCTGGAGCACAGTGACATTTGGTCATCAAGTGAAAAGGGCATCCAGAAGTATCTCACCTGGACCTCTTCCTCCTAGCAGGTTTTCAGCTATTGAAGGACACCTAACAAATCTCACTCTCTGAAAAGTATCTTTTTAAACCAAAGTGAGCTCTGGTACAGCCCACCCTTCAACACCCATCTCTCCCTATTGAAACTCTACCTATCCTTCAATGCCTAAAGCAAATGTTGCCTCCTCCAAGCAGCCTTCCCTGATCCCCCACAGCTGAAAGTCCCCTTTCTCTCCTAAACTTCCACCACACTCTGCTCACAACTTACTCAGAGAACTCATCGCATATAGCTTTGAGAAGTTTGGGACATGTACAATAGTAAGAACAAAGGAAGTGGTCATCCTCAATGTTTTGTCTGATCAGAAGTCAGCAGCAGATTGCCTGGCTGGTGACAGCAACACACTTTAATGCAGTGCTATCAGGATGAGGAAGCTCTAAAGGAAAGCAGCAGACCTGGCACGGGGTCCAGAAGGCACACTGCATAAGAGACTGCTGAAGAAGCAGGAGTAGTTTACCCTTTAACTCAGAAAAAAGAAAACTGGGGGTGTGGAGGTGGGGTAATGGTAACTGAAGTGTTTTCCAATCTTGGAAACACTGCCATGTACAAGAGGGAGTAGGTTCCCCATGTGGATCCAAGTCACACATAGAGAGACTCAGCTCACTATAAGGATACGTTTTATAATGGAACTTCCCAGTAATGAACAGGCTTTTCTAGAGATAGTGACCCGTCCATCACTGGATATAACCAAGCAGTGTGCCAAAACCCCATGTCAGAAAGGTGGCGACAGGGGTTCCTGCACCAGCTGTGTTAGACTAGAGGGTCTCTGGGCTCCCTTCTATGACATTCTATGAGTTCCTTGAATCAGAAACAGTTTCCTACTTTCTTCCACCCACCACATGCATGGCCTTGTTCAGAAGAGGTGTTCAGTAAACATTCACTGAATTAATGAATGATTGACTGATCGAATGATGGATGAGTGGAAGACTTATGTGGTTTCTAAACAGCTCCTTTTGGTGGAGGCAACTAATAAAAATAAATTCAATTGACTTTAGGAAATGAAGAAATGACAGCCCTTCCAATCTCCCTTTCTACCCTTACTACCTCGCCCAAACTTTGTAGGGAAGTTAAGAGAACTGAGGGCAAGTAAGGACAGCTTGGCTCGAGGGGAGGAGTTATTTAAGGCCACATATATAAAGCTCACTCCAAACCTCCCCATGCTTGCAGTTGCTAATGTGGCTTCCCAAAGGCCCCAGCAAGAACATAAGCCTGATTTAGGCTCTTAGGCCCAAGGCATCTGGGTCCCTGTGGGCACAATGGGACATAAGAGCCCACATGGGTCTTTAAATAACACAGGAGGCCTCCTCAAATTATCCATCCACCCAGTCTGAGCACAAGGTGTGGGCAAGCATGAGATTACAGGGACTTCAGGGAGTATCACACACAGAGTGCTGGGGGCCCTGCATGCCTGTGGTCGCTGTCAAAGGAAGATGGCCTTTGACACCACCGTGGTCTGCTACAGCCTGTCTATCCCAATAGTATCTGCCTACTGCACTCCACCCCCTTCTTGTCCCATGTTGAATTTATTTTGGGCATGTTGACTTTTAGTTCATGAACTACCAGAAAACTTGTATTAAATACTCCCCTCCAAGGGGAGTTTTCCCTTTAAAATCTTTGGTCTCTGTCCCTAAGGGTCATTTGGGGATCCCAAAGTATTCTCTTCTTCCAAGTTAGGGAAAGAAAGAAAGGCAATACCAGCTTTGGTCCTCAGTCTAAAAATCCACGGTCCCACAGAAAGCCATGACCCTTGTCTATGCTATGGTATAAAAATCTAGCTATTAATTGTTTGTCTGAAATCTAGACAGTTCCTTAGGGCCCAGCTACACTGCCAATCTCACAAACAGGTGGTTGCCAGAGCTATGCAATGTAACAAAGTCTGAGGCAATGCCCCAGGTCCCAAAATATATTCTGTACCACTTGTCATCATGCCTAAAATTCAAATTAAGAGTATTTGGCTTGGGCGCCTGGGTGGCTCCCTCAGTCAAGCATCCAACTCTTGATTTCGGCTCAGGTCATGATCTCAGGGTTGTGAGATCGAGTCCCGCAATGGGCTCCACATTGAGTGTGGAGTCTACTTAAGATTCCCTCCCTCTCCTGCTGCCCCTCCCCGCTCATGCTCTCCCTCTCTTAAAAAATTAAAATAAATAAATAATGTTTGGCTCTTATTTTTTTAAGAATGTTTGATTCTTAATAACTTTTCATTCTTCAAGAGTCACATTCTTCAAGTGTCCCTGAGAAAGAGAATATAATAATTCCACTATTACCTAAGACTTAAAGCAGGACCTATATATGTTATATATGTTTATATATATATAAGACTATGTACATATATAAAATACATAATAAATATAATATAATATAAATTACAGAGATGGGTGGATGATAAGGACAGGCAAGGAAGTGTCCAAGACAAGTTTTGCCATCTTCAAAATTCTAACTAGAGTTGGTGTCACTGCGGAGGAAAACATTTCCTCACTCTCCATATGTCTTGCACTGGTACATAAAGTATGGAGTCTGTCCTTTCAGAACCATTAGGAGGAGAGCGCTTACCCTTCCATGACCCACTCCGCCTCTCTCAGGCATGCATAGCCATGCTAACCTCTTCATGGGAGAAGCAGTGATTTCCCAGACTGGTGAGATAAATGCAGTCTGTCACCCACTGGTCTCTCTGTCCCTTTGCTGAGTGATGTGAGGTTGGTATCAATCTTGTCTGGCCCCCATTTTCTCTGAAGTACTAGCCCTTCAGCATGGGCACTCTCCCTTCCCGTTCCTGTCCTCCATGTGGTGGACCACCTGGATAAGGTGCCTGGCTAGACCAAGAAGCTTCTCTGTCTCTACTGTTCAGACATGATCTGTGGAGACAGGAATTCACCCGCGGAGCTGAAGAAGGGTATGTGCAGCAGACACAACCCCCCATGAACAGGTCCTAAGGTCTACACTCAGAGGCAGCTAGGAAGAGGCCAAATGGCAACCACTTGCTCCAAATCATGTCCTCTGATCCAGCATTACTGATATATTTGGTTCCTTCCTGATGCCTTTTCCTACTTCTCTATTTATTACCAACTAGGAGGGGGGAGCAGTGTGATTAATTATCATTAGTGTGGATATCATCCCAAGAGAGAAACACTAACATTTCATCTCATAAAAAGAAATAAATTGGGGCACCTGGGTGGCTCAGTTGGTTGGGCGGCTGCCTTCAGCTCAGGTCATGATCCCAGGGTCCTGGGATCGAGTCCCGCATTGGGCTCCCTGCTCTGCAGGGAGCCTGCTTCTCCCTCTCCCACTCCCCCTGCTTGTGTTCCCTCTCTCGCTGTGTCTCTCTGTCAGATAAATAAATAAAATCTTTAAAAAAAAAAGAAAGAAAGAAAGAAATTGACTCAAAATGGCAATCTGTCAAGATGACATTTGAAGCATGTGTTGCAAATTCCCACATTAGTAAACTCCACAATTCAATTCATGATAGCTTGAGAGTAGCTTATAACTTGTTTCCAAGAAGCACAGATTTCCTTGAGGAGGTTTTCCTTCTCAAATTCCTCCACATTAGTTATTTCATGTTCCATTCTGTTGGTTTTGCACTTACCATCCCACACTCACCCTCCCAAACCTATTCACCCCTAAGCAGGCTGAGCTGTTCTAGAGAGTTCCCAATACCTAGAATCTCTCCCATCACCCTCCCACTTCCATCACCAATGATATACTTACTGAGATTTTGATGATCTTGTCAAAAAGATGCAGTTGGGGTCCAATGAAGTCAAAGACAAAGTACTAAAAAACATAAAGTTCATTCTGACCATAAATTCAGGGCTTGCATTTAAGAACTTTATTACTGGACTAGTCATAGATTTCTACCATTTTAACCACTTGCTGCATGGTCCTCAGTAGCATGGATACACCATAAATCAACTGGCCATCCCCTATTTAGGGTCACCTAAATTCTTTCCAATTTTTTTTTCAAATGCAAAAAAAAAAATGCTGTCACCTCCATCTTTGCACAGGATATACGTGAATTTTCCTCTAAAATGGACATAAAATGTGCAATTATTGGGTCATGGCTTATGTGCATGTAAATATCTAATAGATAATATGAAATTTCTTTCCAAAGGGGCCAAGCCATTTTACATGCTCACTGGCAGCATACGAAAAAGCCATTTCCCCATCCCCTGCCAACCCTTGATATTGTCAATTCTCTTAATTTGTTGGCCTATAAATAATGATGGGTGAAAATCAGAGTGTGGTTTTAATTTGGGGTGAACTTGATTAAAATCTAATTGTCTCAGGATTTTTCAGTTTCAAACATCTTTGTGGCCATTCCCAAGATTGACCAGGAAGAGAATGAAAAGAAATTATGGACAAGGAGGACTTCTAATTTTAAGAAAGTGATTGAATTTTAGAGTTGAAGAAATTCTCTAGACCAGTCTCTCTATTCTACAGATAAGAAGACTGAAGACCAAAGGATTTAAAAGACATGCCTGGATTCAGACAGCTGGTTATTGCTGAGCCTGAGAGCACGGCTCAGTTCTCCAGAAATTATCACACAAGCGTTCAAGTATAGATGTTTCACCCTTTGAACTTTACCCAGTACCTCCCAAATGTGAGGTAATATTCTCCTAAGATGTAGAACATTGGGGTGGTGTTTTGTTGTAGGTTGCGTCTTTTGGGGACTGGTAGGGGTGGGGGAGGCAGGACCAGGAAGTTGCTTCGTGGGTTGTTTGTTTTTGAGCTTTAGGGTGGAGGAATAATGCAAGGACCTTAGAGATGAACAGGACAGCAGTAGGAAAGGGAAAACTGACTGCTCACAGCCTGGTTTTAAAGGGCAGAACAGAAAAACCAAAATGTGGAAATTGAAAGATGCCATTATACATCATAATAAGAAACCTTCAAAATGGCAGTCCCTAGATATCAATGACAGGCCACATTACATTCAATGTCTTCTGTTTAAGAAAATGGGAAAATACACATGATATTTCAGGAAGCTTTTCATATATATGTTCAAACTTTTAAAGAGTTGTGTTGTTCAGAATTTCTTTTATGTGGAAAACTCACATGAAATTCCTCGTTCGGATATATGAAACGTTGTGAGTTCCTTGGACCAATAAATTAGTTCCAATGTTTATTGTTTTCTGCTGAGTTTCACATTTCAAACTCAATTGCCTCACACAGGTTCCCTAGACCTTTGAGCCACACACATTTTTCTAGCTGGAAAATATTCCCCAGCCCCTATTAACTGGTTCCTTCAACATCTGATGGCCCTTGGGCTTGAAAATTAGGGTCAAAAGCTGTAATTAAGGTTTTCAGTTCAACTTCTATGTTTCTACTTGTATGTCTACTGATGACATGTAGGCCCAGTTTCATGTCATTTAGATCCAGGACTTGTATGCATAAAGAAAATACTAATTATAACATTTAACAAATCTGTAGAGCTTTGCAGTTTTAAAGCATCTTCATACACATTATTTCATGTCTCATCCATGCCAAAGTTGTTATGGAGGTGAAGGTAGGATGGGAAGGAAAAACCTCATGGTGAAAGCTCAGAGGCAAGAGTGATGGATAACGAGGAAAGGAGTTAACAGCTGAAGTGGGATTTGGTTATTTTCTGTTGATTTCATTTTCCATGGTCTCCCTTTTCAATTACTACTCCCATTAGGGAAATAGTTAAGAGTTTGCTGCATTTTTTGTATAACATTTAGAAGCTTCCTGTCTCTCTCTGATGTTTTTCTCTTTGATGTTCACAATTTTTACACTGCTTAGAAAAACCCATCTGCTTTACTTTCCAAAGCAACATGCCTATTTCAAAATTAATAATGAAATTTCTAGTGTCTCTTTCATGAAAAAGATGTTTATCTTCTTCATCACCAACACTCAATACATTTATTGAACTTAAAACCAGAGCTTACAATGGGTGAAGATGAGCATATGAGAAATAAGAAAATGGGTATATTGAAAACACAGCAATGAATTTAAAATCAGTAGGAATTCCTCCCCTCTCCTTTTCATCATCTTTTTGTGAAACTCTATGGGGTTGTTTGTAAGGAGGCTCAGAGGGTTTGCCAAGGCTTAGACGAGTCGTGGGAAGCAGTGAGGAGGGGCACAGCTTTCCCACAGATGGGAGTGGAGGGAGAGTTGGTGGGGAAGATGTTGGTGACCTCCACGACTTACTTCATTGTAAAATGGGCTGTTGGTTCCTTCCTTCACTGTGCTTTGCTTCTTCTCGTCCCCGACCTCAATGATCACAACTGGATCAATGTTCTCACCCACCAGCTGGCGGGCCTCAGTGATGGTGATGGCAATCTACAACACAAAGCAGCATGTATGCACTCTGGACCTTGCTGTTCGTTCACACAAGAAGAACTGGGGGAGGCTGGGCAGGAGGAGTCATTCACTTACTTGATAGTTTTGGGACCTGACCTCCCCATCATGGATCTTAGTCAACAGTTTTGATCTATTAAAAGAAAGTTTAATGTATTTGTTTAAGTAAGAACATACTTTAGATCCATAAGCCATGATAACATTTTCCCAGGTATATCTAAGTAGTTTTATTAATACTGTATCACATATTCTCTCTCCATCTCTGGAGGAGATAAATGTAAATAAACAAGTGACTTAACCTCTCTATGACTCATTTTCTCCATCCTAAAAGTGGAACTAATAATAGCACTTACCACATGAGGTAATTGTTACAAGTGAATGATATAATGCATGTAAAGGTTTAACCCAGTGCTTGGCAAGAAAAAATGTCAACTCTTATTGTATGATTATCAGTATCATTTATTTTTTATACAGAATGAGAAACTGAGATGCCTCAGCAAGTCAGTGGCAGAGCTGGGTCTACATAAAGATCTCCCTTATCTCCTGTCTGATCCTATCCACAAGACTTCTTTGCCATTTCTTTTTTTTTTTTTTTAAGATTTTATTTATTTATTTGAGAGAGAGAGAAACAGCATGACGGGGAGAGGGTCAGAGGGAGAAGCAGGCTCCCCGATGAGCAGGGAGCCCGATGTGGGACTCGATCCCAGGACTCTGGGATCATGACCTGAGCCAAAGGCAGTCGCTTAACCGACTGAGCCACCCAGGCACCCCTTTGCCATTTCTAGTAAATATAACAACCCTGAGTTTTGTGATTGCTTTTGAAAGAATTAGTAAAACAGAAAATTGGAAGGAACAACCTAGATGCCATCTCAGTGAGATTTCACATTCCAGGGGATTTCATTTATCTGGGCTATCATAAGTAATTGGAAACAGATGTGCAACACCTGGGTATTTAGAAACTGATAATAGTAGAAAGAGGTGAAGAATCCCTGTCGTCACCAAGGCAGCAATGAGTGGGAAATGAATGAGCTTGAGTTCCTATTGAATTTTATTCTCTTGCCTTCTGAAAATACCATCTTGCATTTGACTTCATCCCTTTTCTGCTGATTATAATTGAGTCTAATAGAGAACAGAGTAAGCTAGTAAAAAATCTCAAAGCTTTGGAGTCAGACTGATCTGAATTAAAATATTTGTTTTTCCCAATTTTGTGATGTTACGCTTAATTTCCTCATCTGAAAGTGGAAATAATAATTCTGACCACATAGGGTTGCTCTAAGGATTAAAGGAGATAATGCATGTAGGGAAGGGTAGATATCAAAAGGTATATACATTCATTAATAAAATGGCAAATTCATACTGACCATTTACTGTGTGAAAGTGCTTTCCTGGTCTCAGAGGATAAACAGGTGAATGAGCTAGCAACCTGGCCCTTGCAGAGCTAGCAATCTATCCCAGGGAGAGAGGACCAAAGCATATCAAGAAAGAACTAGTAAGTGTAAAATGTGTTGTAGGAAAAAAAAAATGTGATACAAGTTCAAAGAAGAGAGACATTCCTGAGAGTCCAGGTAAGCAACAAAGACTTTACTGCAGAGATTAGATGTCACTTGAGCATTAGTTGGTGGGTAGAATTTTGATTGATGCAGAATGCACTAACCAGGGAAAAAGAGAAAGTCTTCTCCTCCTTACTTCTTTTCCCCCTGCCTTCCTCATTCAGTATTGTTATTCTGGTGAAGTAAATCACAAGGGATCCCTTCAAGGATATTTAAAAATAATTGCAATCATGATTCGGGGGACTTGGGGGGCCATGATTGTCATGGTGCCATATAGGGAGAAGGAGATACTGCAGTGAGTATATGCATACAAATTTCATGTCTCCTTTTAAGAGTCAACCTTTCAGCTATCACCATCTCAGATTTCCAGCTCTTTCCCAACAACCCTCTACCTCTTACACATATCAACTGTGTGCTATCCTGCCATGGCCCAGTTACAATTCAGGTTCTGCCACACAGGGAAGGACTAATATGCTTTATTGATAGTTAAGAATTCTGAGCAGAAATAGGAGGGAGGGCTGAGGAATTACCATGAGTAAGAAAATGACATAAACAAATACGGTAGACTGAAGACATCAATAGCCCCAAGTATTAGTTACCTTGGATCTATGCTCTTTGCCTTGTAACTTGTAGTCTCTCATTCTGACATGGGCTGGACTTGTGACTTGCATTAGCCAATAGAATGCAGCAGAAATGATTTTTGCTAATTCCAAGCCTAGACTCAAGAAACTTTGTGTCCTTCCACTCTGCCTTCCTTCTCTTGAAACTCTGCCATCACCACTATTGGAATAAGCTTGGACTAGCCTGCTAGAGGATCTAACACCATATGGAGGAGAGCTCAGTGGTCCTGGGTGAAGCAATCCTAGACCAGCCTACCACCAGCCAACCCTCAAACTAAAATCTGCAGAGTTACCAGTGACCACACACACATGAGTGATGGATGTATAACTATCTGGAACCAGTAAAGCTAACCAACTAATTCATAGATTCATAAGCAATAATAAATTCTTGTATTAAGCCTCTGAGCTTGGGGTTGTTACACATGAAGTGCTAACTGATAATAGCAAATCACATGCAAAAGGACAGTTTGTTCTGACTTTTTGTTGGGTAGGATAAACACTTGGGACAAACACAAAGCTAAGATATCTGGCACCTTGATGAATTAAAGAGCAGGTGAGGGACTCAGGTCCTGAGTCTGTCTCCTGTTGTTCCTGTCATTCCTGAATTATGAGGCACAGCAGGACCTTAACTCAGGGGATTGAAGACCAGAAGCTGGTAGAGCTGGGCCCCTGGCCTGCTGAAGGCTGACCAGTATCAAGAGGCCAGCACTGCCATAGAGGATATGAAGTAGATACAGACGTCTGTCTTCCTGTCTTAGACATCTGGCTCCTTGCAGACAGTGATCAGGTATTATTCTCTGTTCCCCAGAACCTGCAGAGGTGCCTCCAAAGGGAGGTACCCAGTAATGTGTGCCGACTGCCCGCACCAACACTGTACCTTCTCTTTGGAGGAGTTGAAGGGATAGGAGTGACAGATTCATGATCATAAATAAAATCTCCTCCTGGTCCTTCCTGATGAGAAGACCCCTCCTGTGGTGCCTCTGCTTCACTCTGGCCATCTAGAGGAGCAAACAAAGGAAGAAAACTGTCAATTATGATATACACAGAGGTGACCTGAGCCTCAACTGTCCAGCACTATGCCAATCATCATAAGGAGTACAAGGAGCCTATAAGACATTCCCTGCCAGCATGAAACTTAATATCTCACTGGCAGAAAAGAAAGGCATGTACCTTAATTTTTCTAAAAAAAATATTCATCTTCTGTTTCCAAAAAAAAGAGTAGATGTATATGCATGGTATTGTGGAAAGACAACTGGATTATGAACTTAAAGACATGCTTTCAAGTCATGACCTTGCCACAGTGGACCTTCAGACAAGTCATTTATTCCCTCTGAACCTCTTCAGTAAAAGGTAATGTGCGTAAGAATCACCTGGGAAACTGTCGAAATGCAGATTCTGATTCAGTAAGGCTGGGGTGGAGGCCAGGATTCTGCATTTCTAACAGCAATGGTCCATGTAAGTCTGTTCCTGCTGTCTGAGGGCCAGTTTTGAGTAGAAAGGTGTCCTAGGTTGAATTATATTTCCCAAAGACCTCAAGTCCTAGTCCCCAGAACCTGTAAATGTTACTTGGAAAAAGGGTCTTTGATTAAATTAAGGATTTTCCAATGGGGAGATTATCCGGGACTATACAGGTGGGTCCTAGTTGCAATCATATGTATCGTTACAAGAGGGAGGCAGAGGGAGAACAGAAGAATGCAATGTGATCACAAGGCAGAGATGGGCCAGACGCTGCCACCCTAGCCATTGGAAGATGGAAGAGGGAGGAATCAGATACTCCCAAGGGGGTGAGGCCCTGCCAATATTGTGATTTCGGCCCCGTGATACTGATTGTGAATTTCCCGCCTCCGTTACTATGAGAAAATTAATGTGGGTTATTTTAAGCCACCCAGTCTGTGGTCATTTGTTACAACGGCCACAGGAAATGAATGCACGAGTGCCTAGAAAATTTAAATGAATGGATAGTAAACATATTCTTTAGACCTCCTCTTCCCCCACTGAGGGCTTCTGATTTAATTGATCTGGGATGTCGCCCAGATGTCCATTTTTTTTTAATCCCCCCAGGTGATTCTAATGTATAGCAAAGCTTAAGAACCACTTCTCAGACAGATTTTTGACGAAAACCAAAGAGTGTGTGGAATTCTCTCAGGCACTAAGAGACTGCATGGTGAAGTTCAAAACCCTGACTCCAAAGGTTCTAACTTTATGTTTTGGGGCAAGTTACTTCACTTCTCTCAGCCCTGTCGTCCTCATCTATAAAGCCAGGCAAGGCCAATGTTACCTACCTCACAGAGGTGTTATTTTTTATTGTCTATTTTCTTTATAGCACTCTTCTCAACCTGTAATGTAGTTACCTACTCAAGTCTCAATAGATAAAAGAGGCTCCCCCATCTCCCCCCCAGAACAGGATGATTTGAGGACTTTATACAAAGGTGTGGGTATAGGAAAATCACAAAGAGTTGTGCAGCTATCTGGGGCTCACAGCAGCCAAGCTGTTTCTGTTTGGAGGCCCCAAAAATGAGGCAAGAGAGCAGTTACCAGAACCTGGAAGGAGAGGAAGTCAGGTCCAGTCAGCTCCCTACAACCCTTCAGTTGAGGGACACATCCAATCACTGGATCTGAGCTCATGCTCCTCCCTCCCTCATCCTTCCTGCTGAGGCGCCCCACTGGGGAAGGGACCTGGGTTCTGCATCAATACAGGTCAGCCTCCTGGGACCGAGAACAGGTGGAAAAAGGTGGAGAATTGATTTGGGAAAGGCAAACAGAAAAGTCCTACACAGGGTGATCCTCCCTCTAAACTACCCGAGGGCACTGTTCTATACCAGAATCTAGCACAGAACCCAGCACTCAGTTTATAGTCCATTAGCATTTGTTGAGTAAATGAATGAATGGCTGATCATGGGAGGGACTCAATAACTTTGGGTAACTAATTAATGGATGGGTTAGGATCATTGGAATTTTATGAAATTTAAGACATAGCCACTATGCCTCAAATACACGGATATGAGAGCCACTGACTTTGAGAATCTCCAAATACTTCATCCAGTAAAACCCTAACTTCCCAGGCCAGGCCAAAAAGGAGAGAGCGTACTATGGACTTTGTTTTGTCAGTCTCCTACGGGGCAAGCCCCTGGCCATCAGCATAAATGCTATTTACTTTCTAGGAGGGGCCTGATTCCACTCTGCCCTGTTTGCTTTGTGGGCTAAAGACTCTAATTAGAATGAGCCTGGGGAGTCAGCTTCTCTGAAATGCCTCAGGTTGACTGCCCTAAATCTCCACCAGCTTGTTCTTTCCTCCCTGGTGCAGTCAGTAGAGGCTCCTAACTGGAGGCTGACCCATGGAGTAGGAAAACCCAGGCTCTTGTATGAGATTGACCTCTGCTCAGAAACCAGCTTCTCTACTTCTTAGCTGTGCAACTTTGGGTAAGCACTCAACCTCTCTGCACCTCTATTGTACAGGAGCAAAGGAACCTACATTTCAGAGTCATGAATGATGCATGTCAACTAAAAAGCAGCAGGGACTTACTAAATGTGTCCTAAATATTATTTTTCATAAGGTCCTGAAAGTAAAGGACTGTCTCATTCAACCTTATGCCCCGGGACCCACTGCAGGGTCCTAATTTCAAGGACACCAGATAAGACCTAAAAGCCTTTTTCCCTGAGTAGGTAGCTTTAAGCCCTGTCCCCACTTAAAATGCCTCTCTCATCCCATCCAAGGATGACTTCATCGTTATTACCAACACTTTAGTATGAATAAGGGTCCATAGATTTCCACTATAGGTTATATGTGAGGGCAGGAAATGGAGTTGGGAGAGAGGGACATGAAGCGACAGAGCACCCACAGGGGGCAGCAGTGAAGGGTGAGGGAGGCCCCCCAAGGAGACAAGAGGGGTGAAGATAAAGCAGACCCACTGCACCATTTTGGTTTAGAAATGGTCCAGAGAGCTGGCCTTGAATTCGCTGTTGTCAGGGCCGCTGGGCAGTGGACTCTAGGAGACCACCGCAGAACTGTCCATCGGAAGTGGTTAATCCTATCTGACTCAACAAACGTGTGTTACCTGACGCCAGGCCTATCCCCACTGGCACAGTTCACACTGTAACTTGGGGATTCATTTGCTCTTTTGAAGATGCAAGTAGCCCATTCTGAGGACACAAAGTCAGACAGCCGGGACTGACATCCCAGTGCTGCTCACTGCTTCCTGGCCTGTGCTCTGGGTCTCAGGGCCGATTCTGAGCTTCGTGCAGCCACCCAGGGTCCTGTGATCTGAAGGATCTCATCGCACTTGGCTCAATACTCTGCTATTGCCATCCAGAAACTTAATAATTTCTTAACAATGGCTTTGCATTTTCGTTTTCCATGGTGCCCTGCAAATTCAGTAGCTGTCCTTCCCACACTTGACTTACTCTCTCTGCATCTCTACAACCTCCTGGGATAGCAACACCCACTGGTCGGATGATGGCGGGGTCGAATGAGACAATAAATGTAAAGCTTCCCCTGTAGCAGCTGCTGTCCTCACTCGTATTTTTAAAATCTCACTGGATCCTCCCCAAGGCGTGTGAGGTCGGCCCAGCAACCCCATCGTGCCCACTTGCCAGAGGGAAAAGCCAAGAATCACAGCTGTGTTGTGATTCCTGGACCACAGAGCAAATCAGGACAGAAACAGGAGCTTGAACCTTGCTACTCTCTCCCCCTGGGGTCCCCTTCCACAGCCCAGCAGGTGTCCGCCCCACCCCTGTTGGGTCCAGTGACCAGATGACCAGCAGCACTGGGGTGGACACCATACCTGTGACCGGCAGGGCCCGAAGACCCAGCAGGCACCACACTTCCCACCTCACTCCCACGGAGGGAGAGCTCCATTCTCAGCCAAGGAAGGCTCAGCTCTGTGAGACCTGTAGGCACCAGGGTAGTGCATTTTCCCCACCCCCAAAAGCCTCACCTTGGGCAGCCTTATTGGCTAGGATTAACCCCTTTTCTGCTTTCTTCTTCTTCTTCTTCAGCTTGAGCCCAAACATCCCCTTTCTGAAAAGAAGAAGAAAAACTAAATAACACTGTAATAGTAACTTCGAGGAATTCAGACATATAAGGAGGAAATACACACACACACGCACACACACACACACTGAGTTCTCCTGGAAGCTGACCAGCCTCCTCTTCTACCCTGGATGGGGATCAAAAGACCAGTGTCAGTATGACCCAACAAGCTCTTCAGACAGCTCTACATTTGCAGAAACCATGAAGCCCCCCAGAAATTATGGGTTCCACCTAGAACTTAAATGGGCAGAATATGAATACAAAGAGCCCCAGCCAGTATTTTGCTGTTTCTCCTTGCTTACTTGTACCAGGTACTAAAAATAAATGACATCATTTAATCATCATGGCAACCCTCTCTTGCCCATCTTATAGATGAGAAGGCAAGGCCCAGAGAGGGTAGGTAGTGTTTCTGAGGTCACACAGCTCTGAGCATCAGGACCACAGGAACCCAGGTTCTAACCGTTGGATGGCCTGAGCAGGTTACCCTGTGCAGAGTGAACACCCTTTCCAGAGCCAGGGTCCCAGGCCATTTCAAGGTCAAGAGACCCTGGGACTCACTGGGGTCCCACCACTAGTGCATGGTCTGTGCCCGGAATATCAGCTACTATTATTTTTGTCATTATTAGCTGTGAGCAGAAGCCACTTGGGGTCTCCTTCTATCCCAGGAAAGGGCTTGCTCCTCTGTCTTAACAGACAACAGAAGCATTTCACACACTCCTGAGAGAATCCTTTTCTAGAGTTGAGGGACTGAACACTGGATGGAAGGATGGATGGACCCAGTTCAGAAGAAAGTCCTGGCCTTGAGTCAGGCAGGCTGGTGAGCTGACCCTTGGAGGCTGGAGAAGGAATAACAAAGACAGAACAGAGGAGAAGGAGGAGAGAGCAGCAAACCCTCCCAGGAACACCCTGCAGTCCCAGAGCGATGTGAGGGAAGTGGAGGGCCATCAAAGTTGTCCAGTGTGCTTAGGAATATAGGACTCATGAGGGGCTAAGACCAGGGACTCCACATCAGGCTGTCTGGGTTCTGGTCCCAGCACTATGGGCAGACTGAGCCTCTCTGCACTTTAGGGTCTTCATGCATAAGATGAGATAAGAAATGTAAAGCGTTTAGCACAGTGCCTGGAACATACCTGTTGCTCAATAAATGTTAGTTATGCTTGTTATTATTGTAATGGGTAAGATTAGGACCAATGAGTGGAAGCTACTAGGTGAAGAAGTTCACTCCATTTATTTATGTATTCATTTACTTACTTACTTATTTGTTTACTTTCTTTTTATATCCTGCCTTAATTCAACTGAGGAATTAAGGAGCCCTCCACATTGGTGTTGTCTGAACAGTGAAATGGACTGCATTGAGTGGGAGTGAGTTCCCTGTTCCTGGAGGTGTACAAACAAAGGCCAGCAACCACTGGAAAAGGATGTTGTAGAGAGGACAAACATCAGAAGAGGGGGACTGGCTTATGGGATTCTGGGGGTCCTTTAAGACCTTGAGATACAGTAGAATGGAAAAAATGGGCTCTGGAAGCCCCCAGACATGGATGGATTGGGCAAACCACGGTACTTCTCTGAGCCTCAGTTTCCCTGTGGGTACAAATTTATGGAAATAAATAATAAGGTACCTAACTTTACAGAATTGTGAGAATAAAATGAGGTGAAGTAAGTAAAGTACTGAGGGCAGTCCCTGGTATATAGAAAGTGCTGGGATGTGCCCTTTTTGGAGGTAGCATTTTCCCCTCTTTGATTTGCCATCATCTGTGATGCAAATCATTCTAAAGTCTCCCAAGAATCTCAGGAGAACATACACAAGGAGGATTTTCCTCTTCTGAAATTTCTTGAAGGCAACTTCCAGTAACTTTTCTGTTTTCAAAAGAGAGTTACCAAGCAGAGGGCCAAGGTCAGTATCTTCCAAACCCTGACTTGCCATTGTGGTCTCCAAGGGCTCAATGCCATGATCATTTCATGGAGGCAGAATCTGATGTCCCTTGGAACTTGGCCAATGGGTTCTGCAGACTATTTGAAAAGGCTGAGTTTCTTCCATCAACAAACAGGAAGTCACTACTAATAAATGACAGTATCTACCACAGGGAGACTCGATGCTCCTGGAGGAAGCTGACATCCTCATCACAGATGGCCTCAGCATTCTGAATCGACCGTCGGGCAGCCGGTGACTGAGGCATTGAAGCATGCCTGAGGTGACTGGCGAGGGCAGAGGCAGAGGCAGAGAGAAAAATGGGTACCCCTGTCCCTCTGAAACCAGGAGCTCTTGGCCCTTTTGACCATTAGGGGCACCTCAAGAAGTTTAAAGGATACCAATGTTTGGAACCACTTTCAGAGATCTGTAATTGCTTTGGAGAAAAACGAGTGCTGAGAAGCCCTGGCACAGCTCAGACCCAGCTACCAAGGAAGCCAGAGAGCCTTTCGCAGTAATGCCCAATGGATTTACAACCAGCTCAGCTCTCCTGGATGGGTTGATATTTGTTCCACAAACACACAAGGTTGTTTGCCTGAAACCCTGAGTCAGTCATCAAGGGCACTCCCAGCGTGACTCCCAGCATGAAAGGCTTCTTGATGAAAATTGATTTTTTCCTCCTCAGCCCCATGACATCTGCAGTAGAGATAAGGCATGGCTCACCAGCCCAGAATAATCATGCTGCTGGGAGACTGGGCAGCAGAAAGCAAACTGGAGACAGAATACAGCTCACGGGCCTGCTTGCATCACCTGTTAGCTCTCCAATTTAGGACCAGACACTTAACCCAGATGAGCACGCTTCATTCCCACGGGGCATTTCTTACCCAGTTCATACGGTGGCATCAAAATAGGAAACAAGGCTGGTAAAGTGTAAAACGTGCTACAAAATACTGTGTTACAACACTGATGACAAGGAAATGTGCTACAATACTCCCCTGAGTGAGTCCAATATTTTTGAAACATGTATTAACACTCACTTTATGCCAGGAGCACCATTTGACACACACTATCTCCTAGTATTCTCGCAACATATCACAAGACAGATGCTATTATTTCCCATTTTTACAAATGAGAGGTTGTCAGGGGTTTCCAGCCAGTGTATTGGGGTCAGCCAGTAAATCAGGAAGCAAGTCCCCAGGGCAGGAGCCATCAAACCCCTTTCTCCTTCTCAGTGTGCCACGGATTCCAGCATGGGAACCCTCCCACTTCACAAAAAAGGATGGGGCTCTCTGGCTTCAGATCTACTGAATTCCCTCCCAGGGCCACCCCAAGGTAAGTCAAGACACACAGAAACCCCCGTACCAACCTGGTCTCCTCAGGGTGAAAGCTACCATGACTCCAATATCTGTATCCAAACAATGAGAGTGTTAAACAGTGTGCGTGTTAGGCTCCCTTCAGCACCTCTGTTCCAGGTGATGTCACTCCAGGTGGCCCCATAGGGAAGGCAGCCAACCTGGCACACAGAAAGAGGGGCTCGACAACCAGAGTTTGGGTCTCATCTCTACCATTTCTAACTATGCCGGTGGGGCTGGCCACGGGACCTCTTTGAGCTTCAGGTTCCACTTCTAGAGGAAGTGGCAATAAAGTTAACTCTGCTCTTCTCGTGGGATATTATGTATATGACCTCACTGAGTGCTCATGCTGCATTGTTAGGAGCTCTACAAATGATTAATGTCAACTCATATCCATGGCTCACTGGAGCCAGGATCGGGAAATGGCTCACAATTAGGGTCTCCATGTGGTTTTCCACTTGCCTTACAAAATTCCCCTTCTGGAATCACCTTTTCTACCTTCAATATGGAGTAGAAGCAGCTCAGGCCAAGCAGCCAAACACTAAGCTAATTGAGTCAATGGGTATGACCAGGACTAGCCCCTGCTGTTCTCCTCCCAGCTAAGAGGATGCAGATTGCAGGTCATCTGTGCACCTGACCCTCCAAACCCAGAGTCACAACATCCAGTGTGAAAAAAAACAAAACAAAAACAAAAACAAAAAAAAACCACTTTGATTTGTGGATTTATTTATATGGTAAACACTTATAAACTTTAAAATTCCTTATTAAAAGAAGGGATTTTTATGTAATCAGGACTACCTTAAAAATAAAGCAAAACCAAGATCTACCACCATTCTGAGGTTATCCAGAGAGCCTTGGATAGATTCCCTGCTGCCTACTGAGGAATCTGCTCTGTGTACTCATCTTACTTTTAAAACTGGGTTATATTCATTAAAGGAAAACCACCAAATATAGAAATAGCCATAATGTGGATTTTGACTAAAGATAGTTAAAATAGGGGCGCCTGGGTGGCTCAGTCATTAAGTGTCTGCCTTCGGCTCAGGTCATGGTTCCAGGATCCTGGGATTGAGCCCCCCATTGGGCTCTCTGCTCTGCAGGAAGCCTGCTTCTGCCTCTCCCACTCCCCCTGCTTGTGTTCCCTCTCTCACTGTGTCTCTCTCTGTCAAATAAATAAATATTAAAAAAAAAAAAGATAGTTAAAATATAAATCCATGGGACTTCCTGCCTTGCCAAGACTGAAATGTTTCTTCCTCTCTCCCCATCATCTTTCTATAACAGCTTGCCTGCTCTATATCCTATTTCTTTAGGCAATGATGCCCAACTTTGGTTATACATTGGACTCATATGGGGCACTTTCTAAAACAGTCTTCCACACTGTGGCCAGATCCCATCCCAGAGAGTCTGATGTCCCTGATCAGCAGTGAGGCCAATGCTCAGTACTTTTCAGATTCCCAAGGTCGTTCTAATGTGCAGCAGTGTTGCAAATCCCTGTGTATAAGTAATTAGTGCCAGAGAGCTCTCTTCCCAAAGAGAAGGTGTATGGTTTTTAAGGGAAATTCAAAGACAAATTTTCAACCAAAGTGGGGGGCTGTGAAATTTAGGAAATTCAGAGCACTTGGTGAATATATCTGTAGGCTGGACTTTATCATCCTACCCCAGTTCCTCTTCCACTCAACCCCCATCCTGGCAATTAGCCCACAGAATTGGTCACCTTCTCTAC